CGGGAGGGGGTCCCTGAGGGTGGGGGCACCCTCAGGGCACTATAGTGCCAGGAAAACGAGTATGTTTTCCTGGCACTATAGTGGTCCTTTAAGTTGAAGGTATAAAAAGGTCAATTTTGATGGTAAATGGTAAGTTTCCTGCAGTGTCAGGAAAGGGTCAGTGTACCCCCCGATATCAGTTGGGATATCCGTTTTAGTCCGATTCTCCCATTGGCGTATAGGTGTCCACTGGGAGACCGCCCTCAGTGCAGCCAATGGTGCCAGTCTGTGGTACTTGGTGGGTGTGTGTCTCATGTTGTGAAATGTGTTCCAAGCAGCTATAGATGCTGCTGTGGTGGTTGGGTATGGGGGTTGGGGGGGCGTCTTTTGCCTCAGGAGTGGAGGAGTCCACATGTGCGACAGCAGTGTATCCCCTGGCATTTGCTGCCTCTCCATATTCACCCATCTCAACAATCCATAGGGTATCTGGATAGGAAGCATCCTAAAAATATATAACAATTTGGGCAAGGACATCATCTTGAGGGCATTTATTCAGCCCGACCAGGAGATTCGTACCTCCCTCCATTTGTCTAATTCCTGTGCGGTCCGCATTTGTAAATGGTTGTGTTTCATTAGTGTTGCTATGGATTTAGTTATTCTCACTCCCAGATAAACTACGTATTCTTCCCTCCAGTCAAACTGAAAGAGTCTCAAGAGGGTCTCCTGCGTGTGATGGGGTATGTTGATCGGTAGTGCTTGTGTTTTGTGAGTGTTAAGTTTATAATAGGAGACTGCTTAACAGTTCCAGTAGTTTGGGAAGGGATGTTTCGGGGCTAGATAGCATTAAAATGATATCATCAGTGAATAGTGATAGTTTGTGGGTCTGTTCTCCTATTGAGATGCCTTTTATGTCTGGAGTCACGGATGTGCTGGGCCAGAGGCTCAATGCACAATATGAAGAGGGGGGACACGGGGCACCCCTGCCTGGTTCCATTGGTTATATCAAATGGAGGCGAAATAAAACCTGCGTTGGAGACGCTAGCTGTCGGGAAGGTACAGAGTGCCATTATTGCAGTAATGAATGCTGGAGGGAACCCAAATCTCCTCATCACCTCTGACATGTATGACCAATTTAGTCTGTCAAAGGCCTTCTCCACGTCCAGCGCTAAGAGAAGACCTTTGCTCGACTCCACATGGATATGATGGAGTACATTTGAGAGATGTCTGGAGTTGTCTGAACCCTGTCTCCCCTTAATAAAGCCGGACTGTTTGGTGGATGAGTTTTGGCAGGAGCGAGCTGAGTCTGTCTGCAATGACTTTGGCATATAGTTTCATGTCCGTGTTCAAAAGTGAGATCTTTTGAACAGTCGGTCTAAAATTTGCACACATGGTTGGTTTTTAACCCGGTTTAGGTAAGGTAACTATATGGGCTAGGAGCATCTCCTTGGGGAAGGAACCTTTTTGGAAGCAGTTATTGAATACCTCCGTTAAGTGAGAGTCTTATTGCCTTTGGAAAGAATTTTGTCGCCCTGTGCCATGTGTATGAACTCGATCTTCGTAGCCAGGGCCCTCTTTTTCAAATGAGAGGCTAGAAGAGTTCCGGCCCTGTTGCCATATTCAAAGTAGCGCTGCTTAAATCTGCGAAGCAGAAAGTTGGTTTTGGCTAATTCTAATTCCGAGAGCTGGCGTTGTAGGTTTCATTTAATTCTAGTGCTTCTTGAGGTGAGGGAGCTGTTTTGTTAAGAGAGGAGATTTGTCAGCTTATTAGTAAGGTCTAAGTATTTTTAATTAAAGTCTCTGTGCTTTCGCATAGCTAGCGTGTTTAATTAAGATCCCTCGTATGTAGGCTTTGTGTGCTAACCACAGGGATTCCAGCTTAGTGCCTGACAACTTATTGGTGTCAAAGTACAAGTTCAGTTCACGAATATCTGCAAGTATGCATGGATTGGTGAGCAAGTGCTCGTTCATGCACCAAGAACCTCTACCTTTAGTGGGGAACTGTTCTCCTAACTGTATCATTACTGGTACGTGGTCAGATCACGTAATGAAGCCCACCTTGGTCACCCGCACCCTCAGTACCATCGAGCTATGGATAAGTTATCTGTCTATCCGGGAGTAAGAATTGTGGACTAGAGAGTGGAATGTGTAATCCTCTCCATGGGGTTTCATCCTCCACGGATCTATGTAGCTGGGTGTCAGTAGGATCTGGTCCAATTTTCGCGTTGTGAAGGCCCGTGGTGTGGGCCACCTCCTCCGAGGATGTAACATCCATCTGATAGTCTAGAATAAAATCTGTGTCTCCTCCTATGATCACCTCCCCTAATCTCAATTTATCTATCTTTTGTAATACACTTTCTAAAAAGGCTGGCTGGTCAGTATGTGGACCCTATATATTAACTAACGTGTATTGCGAGTTATTGATATTGCATTGTACTATCAAGTCCCGTCCATGTTTATCTGCATGCTTTGCCACTAAGGTAAAAGCTACTTCTTTACTAATGAGGATTGAGACACCTCTTTTCTTTGTTGCATAACAACCATGGAAATCGGCCGGGCACTGTGGGGAGTTAAACCTGGGACGGTGTCCCCATTTAAAATGGGTTTCCTGGTAAAACACTGTGCACTTTTGCCTTTTTCACCTCTTGTAGAGCTAGGCATCTTTTGTGTTGGGAGTTCAGCCCTTTTGCGTTGAGCAAGAGGACATTAAACACCATTGTGTAGAAAAATCCTGTGTGCTGTGACTAGGGGCCTGAAAGGCTTAAAAGCAAGATATTGTAACCATCTACTCATTTCTTTAGTCATATACACTAACATTGTACCCCAGCATTTAGATATCTTGACAGTGAGTAAAAAGAAAGACTGTAATTCAAACTATATACAAGTCTCCCCAGACTCCAGACATCCTCCACAGAGAGGCGTCCGTGTAAGAACACAGGAGAAGGGGAACAATTACAGTGCAAAAGCGTCATACTGCAATAGCTCTGTGGCGAGTCTGGTGGGAGTGTGAGTAATTTAATATAAGAGAAAGTATTGAGAGCTAAGGCCTCAATCTCGAGCCCCACCGACAATGGTCTTGATGAGGGTCGGTGAGATAGTAACATTCTAATCATTTTCAAAAAAAAGTTTTTGTGTATTTTTTTTTTTTTTTAAGATTCAGTTTGTTTTGTTTCGATTTGAATATATTTGGGTTTTTTGGTTCTAAGTATAAGGAGAGTATAGGTGTGATGGATAAGTAGAAAACTAATAAAAGAGTTACGCATTTGCATGTAGGGAGGTAATACTGCACCCAGTCCGTGGACAGCTTGCGATTCCGCAGCGCATGCAGGGATGGTGTCCTGGCGTCCTGTAGCGTTGATTCACTTGGCTGCCACAACTCCCTGCCTGTTCCCTGTGATGTGGGTTGCTGCCGGCTCCAAGCCTTTGGTGGGCGATGAATATGCCTATAGCGGTATGTTCCACTGCCCCAGCAGTTTGTGCCCCTCCTCAGGTGATGAGACAACCCTGTCGGAGCCATTTTTGGGTATGATGTCGGGTGGGAAATCCCCACTTGTAAGTAGGCCTGCATACTTGCCAGTCATCTTTGCCGGGTCTCTGGCGGCCTTCATCAATCGCTCTTTAGTAGCGTAGAAATGAACCCGGACAATGGGGTCCCGTGGTAGTGCAGCAGGGACATTTCTGGGTTTTAGCAGCCTATGGACCCTATCCAGCTCCAATTCCTGGGCCGAGGCATCAGGTAGCAAGGTTTGAAATAAGTGGCATATGTATGCCTTTAAATCTTGTGCTTTGATCTCCTCAGATATGCCACACAGGTGGATGTTGTTCCTGCGGGCCCTATCCTCCAGGTCTGTGACTTTTGTATGTAGCATTTGTAATTGTGTGGAGAAGTCGGTATAGGCATCAGCTAGTGTGTTATGTGCCTCTATTATTGTAAGGAAACCAAGTATATTTAACCTCATTCTGTAGTTTCCCCCCGAACCGCCAGAGCCTTAGTGATTATAGCCCTCCGTTCGGTAGTTAGGGTAGACGAATCCTATAGCAATTCCAATAGTCTCACCAGATAATTCCCTCAGTGAAACACACGAATCCCCAAACATCAGCCGGAGTCAAGAAGAAGGGTACAAAATGAACTGTCCTTTAATGGGTGCACACAGTTTTTATGCAAGTCTCCATGCAAGGGGACAGCCCTCAGGGAGGGACAAACAATAACCAATCACAAACAGTAAAATGTTAACACACACCTACAATTCCCTCCCCTAGCCCAGGAGATAATTTAGTATGATAAAATAGTAACTTAATTATCTCCGGGCTGAAAAATCACTTTTTCCCCAACTTTCAGAACACCCCTTTATACTGGGGGTATCCCCATAAATTATGTGTCCCCTGATAGCCCTGATCTGGGTAACCAACATATTCGAATTTCGCCCAGGTTGGTTCAGGGGTTCGCAAATTTTATGGAAGTCTTGGGTGACCGGCTCACCCTGGGCTGCATGCCCAAAACAGTTCCACGAATTTGGTGGGTTTTGCCAGTCACTTTCGAAAAACATAAAAATACCGAATGGATCCCTCTGGCTCCTATCAGCGTTCGTGCCCCTCTGTCGAATGCACCAAAGTACCGAATAGCGCTCTTCTAGCTATTCGTTAAATAGAGTTCCAGCGTTCGTCTGTTTGGGACCGGTGTTTGGGAAGTAGAGTGTCCGTAAAACAGTTCCATGCACTCGACGACCAGGTCCCGCTGCCTTTGTCCGCATGAACAAAGATGGCCGCGGTTTTCTCTGCCACGTGGCGTTCGACTAACGAACGCTGGCCGCACAGAGAGAGGTAGCAATTTCACCTAAACCTTTGATGTTTAATGAGCCAGAGGGTGATCCTTGTTTGGTAGTTTCATCTACCGAATGCAATAGGCAGCAAATAGAGGATAAAAAGGGAATGCAAACCGTAAATCACATAGGGAACAGGGGGGTTTCTTCACAATTATCTCCTCAGTTTTGTCTTCTAAGTGTGCTATAGCTTGCACTTCCCACCTAATTTCAGCTGCCAATTTTTGGAAGTCTGACCTGATGAAGGACTTTAGGTCATCCAGCAGCTTGTGGAGGGTGTTGTCCACAGCTGGGACCGCTGTGGTCAGTGAGATCGAGGTCAGATCACTCCTACTTGACTCGCTGCGGTCTGATTCAGAGATAGGAGAGTGTCCTTCCCCGGCGCCATCTTCGGTGCACTTGCTCGGCGAGGACAGGGCCGAGATCTGCATCAAGGGGGTCTTGTTTTTCGTTTTCCTTGCCGATTTGCTTGCCATTTCCCCAGGAGAGCGAAGTGGGGTGGTAAGTGATAGTTTCTCTCGTCTGTTGTTTGGATTCATGCTGGGTTTTTTTTTTAAGCCGTTATCGGCAGAACTCTCGAGCCGTGAGACAGTCTACATGTGAGTCCTGGTCACGCCCCCCTTCGGACAGCCATTTTGTAAATGGGGAGCTACAGATAAGCTGAGTGTCAGTTGAAGCCCCCGCTTATCAGCGGCTCTTAGTAAGAGGCTTCCTGATTTAAGCCTATGATGTAGTGTATGTTCGTGGGCAGATAAAACACTTTAGGGTTCAACTGTTTGTTAATGGTTTAACTCCTTGAGGTAAGCTGGCAGGCGAGGACCTCCTCACACCATAACTTCATTCTGATCAAGTTGTTATGGTGCCCAGAGTGTTCTTTTAATGGCTTTTCTGACCCGCAAACTAATTCGGAAGTAACATTAGCTACCTCTCTGTATAATGATTTTCATTTATCTCTCCTAATATATATATACTTGTGTCACCTAACAATTTTCATAATCTATTTACATTCTTTCATCTCTGTAGCCGATATGCCTCTATTATTTATTAGTCTTAAGTACCTTTACAGATAAACAACAGCAAAACAATTTAGCCTTTAAAACACCATGTTTGTCTTTTCAACAACTTACACAAATGTAAAACAAGAAAAACACTCAAGCAATATATTTTTGTTATGAAAATTGGTCTTTATTAATTATGTCCACTCTAGGATTTAATTTTTATGTTTTTGTACATTTTTAGTAAAAGGCAACTTCTGCTACTTTAACACTCACAGGTTTGTACCGTAAATAGAGAACTTCGATCCCACTGTAGGGTCTAAAAAGAATCAAACATATATTATTGCTATTTCATGTAAATGATTTTCCAAATTGACTACAATTTTCAATGTACATTGCACTAAGACAAGAGATGAGCTATATCACAGTTGGGTAAAATGACAGGCCAAATATAGTTTGTTGGGAGTAGTGCAAAATAATCCCTTTTTAAAGAAAACCATTCTGAATACGTTATAGTTACTAATGTGTAATGATTCCGATCTGAGACACTGCATATAACCTGATAGACTATGTGCAGATTGACATAGTGTGTACAAGCCCTCCACTATCTCTAGTCTTTCTTGTTAAAATGCAAGCAAGGGACTATATTCATCAAATCCCAAGTTGTGTGACCCAAGTCAAACATTGAGATTTGGTTTAAACTAGAGAGTGTGTAAAAGTGATTTTATTAAAAATATTTTAGGGAAGGAAGAATATGCCCAATGTTAAATCTATTGTCAATCAGGGTTATTAACTAAAGTGAGAATTGTCAATGAATTTCAAATTTAGACCAAAGTAACCAATCTGGAAGTATAGTTTAGATGGAGAATTTTTCCACATCAGCTTTAAATTTGAATTCCCAACTTTAGTTCTTACGTTAGTTAGCAAATCTGAATGAGTGGTCTACTTAGCTCATCAATCTAGTGGCATGCGCCCCTATGCAGAGCAATTTTGAGGAACACATACACAGTTTGCATTATGCTCTCATTATGCTTGATAGATTTGGACTGTAGGTTTTTGGGTATATACCTGAACTATATTAATTTTAGTGCACTCAAACGTGGGTGTTAGCAAATCCTATATTACCCAGATGGCCAGCTCTGTCTAACCCATTCACAATTTATCATAGCAGCAGGTAACAAAAAGGTGTTGACAATTTTTTCGAAGTGCATACATTTCTGATTATTGCTGCACAAAATCTATATATAATAGAAAAATAATTCACTTCTGCTCTTTCTTATTATTATTCTTTTCCCTGCTTATTTATTTATACACAGAAAGGCTTTATTCAGTAAATGCCGAGTGCTAGTAAATTAAAATCTAAAAAAAAAAAAGAGGATAAAATGGAAAAAGTGTACTCAGTTACCCTATTGCTTTTTAATTCACTACCATTTGGAGTCTGGTAAATAAACCATAGCAAGGAACAAGCCCGGCTGTTCTTTCAAGTGAATACAGAGGTCATTCAATGACTTGTCAACATGTTGTAGATTCACAGACAGCCCTGTTGATATATTACCTTGTCCTGTTTTTAATTTCCAATTCTGCTATAGATTATATTATTTGCAAGTTTAATCATGAGTTTTACGGAGAGTTTTCCTTGTAAAAAAGCAAACATGTATCTGAAATAAAGTGAACCTTTTTTTAATTTTGTTGAAATTAAGTATGTCCGTAGGCACCCAGATGGTCAGCCTGAACGGGATATATGTTTTCTTTGCCACCATTACTCAAAATCAGATGTTAGCAGCCTAAAACTCCCAGAATTATTTGAATGCAATCAGTACATCTCAGGAAATCATGGGAGTGGTAGTTTGGGGGGGGGCAGAGTTAGAGAAGTCTGCTTTAGACAGTAGTGGTTTACTCAGATAACCAGCGAGCCTCGGTCACACAAAATGAAATACTGTCTCTTGACCTGGGTTGCTGTTTGGTCTACATTCAGCCTTGTATGCTTGGATAGCATAATTCATCCACATATCCAAGCAAAGAATTACTATGGAAATGTAAAATTGTTATTATTATTATTATTATTATTATTAAAACTACATTCTGTGTTCATTGGGCCACTTAATATCCCCAATGCTTAGGTTAATGTGAACTGCTTTTACAGCTAAGGCAAGTGAACAGATTTTCCACGAGCACAAGGCTGACATGGAACATAGCAGAAATGGCAATAAGGAATCATGTGAGTTGTGCAATAAAACAGTTACTCGTATATAGTAATGCGACCGGTGGAAAAACATCTTGGGACTCATGTCACTATTCCCCTCACCTACTCAATTAAATTACGTAAAATTGGTAACTGAATGCAGCTCAGTGTCTGTAAACCAAGTTTGATTGCATGAATGAGGAGAAGCAGATACTCTTCATTTGTTAATTAAAGTAATTCTATTTAGGCAAAAAACAACAACTCGGAAATGAATACAGAAGCTGCTCAACACAAATATATATAAAAAAAAAACACTTCCTTTTCAATTACAGATTCCCTTTTATTAGAGATTCCATAGTTCTGTTATGAGAAAAAAAATTGTATTGTTTGGGTTGATAAATTGCGGACACCTCCATTTGCATTAAGTGGTTTGGGACTATTAACTTAGTTTATCAATTAAACATAATAATTATATAAAAATAAAGATTACCATTCTTCCAGGCACTGGTCACTACATATGATGCTACAAATATTAAAGTCCAGGGAATTGAATGTATTCAGCAACTGAATTTCTGTTGTACCCTATTGTAATGGGCTTATTCACTATGCACTGAGATGTTCAACATCTTTCTTGCAAAATTTGGAATATAATAAAATAGATGGAAAAACAAAAAAAAGTCAAAATCAGAAGATCTGAACTTTTTTTTGTTTAATTGGGCCATTCTATTTTGAACTATGTTTTGCAAGAAGACTACTCACCGATTAGTGAATAAATCCCTAGATCTATTTACTGGTCCATTTTCAGAAAAAAACTAAAATAAAAGTGAAGGATACCTCTTTAGTGTATCATTTACTTTGCAATGTATTTGAACATGTTAGCCTCCTGTGAAGAAGCAGAACTTGCATCCTATGAAGTATTATTGTATTTAATTAAAAACACACAGGCTAAAAAAACAAAACAAAAAAAAGTCAGGCTTTCATATAAATGACAGAATATCTTAACCCTTTCACAGCTGGGTGTACACAGAGTTATTTCTACATGCCGGGGTGTGCAAACATTTCTAGAATTAGTGTATAATTAAGCATGGAGTCTCTCCTGTAATGTGCAATTGAATACAGGCTGAATTAAGCCTTATTTTAATTGTTGACTATAAAATACCTTATTTTGTATTCCTCTTCTACCCAAATCGTGGTAGATGGGTATCCATTAGTACTGTAGGAGTTTGAACCACAAAATAAAGGGGGCTCCTTTAAAAGTGCAATGAGAATTTTAGGGCAAGACCACCATTTTAAGATTAAAATATTTAGCCAGCAACAATGGTCCCTCCTTCAAGTCTATAAATGGAATTGGCGTAATGCTGGCCATCCCCAGCAGTGAAGGGGTTAATGTTGTGTGAACCGGTTGGTGTTGAAGTAAGGGTGAAATATCAGAGAGGAGCAGTTCTTTGCATTATAAACCTGTTACAACTAGTACCTTTAATTAAATGTTAGGTTAGATGAATCTAGGAGAATGTCTCATGCTTCTCAAAGTTCCTAACCAAAACAGGTTTTCATTGGCCCACCCATAATCTTCTGTAGTGCTCTGGACCCATCACATCATGTCAATCATGTGTTAGGTCTTCATCTTCAATTGTTTTTACTTTACTCCTAGCAAACGTCTTCAGGCAATCATGTACACGAGGTGATAGTTTCCATAGGTCCATTATTAATTAGAGGAAGTCCCTTCTGTTTCTCCTTCATGTTGACCAAATTGGAATAGAACACTTTGCAGAGCTTCTATTGACAGGATGATGTATTCAGTGGCTTATCCATCGACTGTGAGATATAGATTGTCTTATTGGTGACTATTTTCTCAGGCAATGAGGATTTCTATAGCTAGGAACCGCAGCTGTCCGTTGGCAGAGAGACGTGCGATTGGTGCCCTCACATAGCTCCTGCTGGAATCCATAGGGCTTTGTTTTGTTCTTGATCAACAGCTGCAATAATCTGCGTGCAAATATTAAACAGGGCACCTCCCTGGATCACAGCTGGAACACAAGAAAATAGCAATGAATACAGGAAGATGATGGATGTACCACAACAAAGTCACATCAGCAATGCCACGTCTTGCAAAAAGCCTGTACGGACCACTTCACCAGCTGCGTGTTGGGATAGGGATTAGTTTACCTGGGCTTTTTTTTTTATTGGTTTTATTAAAATACTGTGTATTTTACACCAATTCAGCTCTATTTTCAAGCATGTACTTGTTTCATCATACTTATACACCTGGTGTTTTTCTGTGAGATTAAAGTATTACAAGGACACTATAATCACCAGAACCATTACAGCTGAATGTGTTCTGGTGGCTATAGCCTGTCCCTGCAGGCATTTAGAGACTTAGCAATACCTCTAGTGGCAGTCACTCAGACGGCCACTAGTGGTGCCTCCTGTGTCTGTGCCACACTCTGAATGGAGGCACTGAACTTTCCTTTCACAGAGAAGCATCAATTCAATGCATCTCTAGGAGGAGATGCTGGTTGGCGCAGTGCAGCGTTTTACCACGCATGATCAATAGCCACCCAATCCTAGGGGAAAGCACTGGATTTGCTGAGTTCATAACGATTGATGATCTCAGTCATGGAGGTGGAGCCTGATGGGGACAACTGCAGCTGGTCATCTAAATAGCAACACCAGCACTATAGGGCAGGAATACATACATGTATTCCTGACCCTATAGTGCTGGTGTTACATACATGTATTCCTGACCCTATAGTGCTGGTGTTGCTATTTAGTGTTCATTTTAATTAGCATTGCAAACAATTCCATATTCACATACCTGTGAAATATTTGCTGTATTCCTGCTCAATCTTTTGTGCGGTTTCAAACTGCTCTTTGGAATGTTTCTGCGTCACTTTGTCCCTTAGAAAAATTGGGTCCTTTTGTTCCCTGAATGGGGGAGGAGGACACAAAATGTGACATGTAAAGAAAAACAGTTAATCTGACTACTGACAGCAAAAGGATATTATATTATTTACTTTAGTATTTTTGCAGGACTACCCAATCACAGCTCCCCCTCAAAGTGCTGCACAAATATATGTGTGATACAGTTATGTGTTAGTTTGTGCCTGTGTATGCTAGTATGTGTCTATATATGTCTTAATGTGTCTATGACTGCATGTATGTTACTGTGTGGTTTTGTTTATTTTTTTTACTGTATATCCATTACTGAACCTGCAAAATGAAGTTGGCAAAATACAGAGAATGTGCACACTTTACAACCCGATAACTGCATGTTGTCCCCTTGAGAACCATCTTTGTAAGGGATCACATGTTTAATCAAAGTGGGCTTTAAAGGTTAAACACCTGCCACTTGCATGGTGTGCTTTGCAGGGCTCTTGTCACCTTCCCTGCCATCATACCATGGATCGGGTGGAAATATCTTAACCCTGACAGTCTGTTAGAACAAGCAGAACTGTCAGATTGCAAATAGCACAGTCACATAATTAGTTACACAGCTATTTAACATGATATCTGCCAACTACAGAAAGCTGGTACAATCAGAGACCAATGTCCTCTAGCATTTACTACAAGATTTGGCAGTAATTTATGATAAATAAATAAGTATGTACTTGTATAGCTCCCTAGTCTACTTCTTAAAGATATATGTGTGTTTGCTTAGTGTTTTCTAAATAAATGACTGCTATTGCATTTATACCACAGGATACCATATTTTAAAGACGCCGGACTTTAAAGAAACTCTCCCAGCACTATAACCACCACAAAGTGCTGTATTAGTTATGATGCCAGAAGTATCCCCCATCCATCTCCCTTTGTAAGTAGTCAAACTGTTTTTGAGAGTGATCAGCCAATAAGCTGAGCCCTGCACTGGAGAGCTAGTTGCCGTTCCTGCTAAGTTGAGTCAGGCTCTTCGTCGGTAGTTAAAATTAGATGCAGAGCTAGGCAGACCCCAGTTAAGAAATCAAACCATTCAAAAATGCTCTGACTACTTACAAATCTGGGGGCTCAAGGGCACTCTTGTTACCATAACCAGTGCAGTGAGCTGTAGTGGTTATGGTGCTTGGATTATACATTTCAAATAAGAAAACACTCTTATATGTAACCTGTACTCATCAAAATACATTTTTACAAAAATCTAAAGGCATATGGGAAATTTTCTAAATCAGAAAAAGAAAGTCTATTTGTTGGTGTGTTTATCTGCATTCATTGGGTCATTAGTATGTTATTTAATTAGCCGTTTCATAAATATATGGTTACTTATTTATGATGTCTGTGCCAGAAGTATTCTAAAATCTGGTGCAATGTCTTACAAATATAATAAAATACTGACATCTTGTGGTAGATATGTGAAATTGCAAACTTAAAGGGACTCTAAACACCTAAAGCACTTTCATTTGCTGAAGTCTGTGTGAAGAGTGTTTATTTTTTCCCCTTTCTTCATTGTGTAAAAAAGTAGATTTAAATAGAAATTGGCACTTTTCTTTCTATAAATTAACCTTGTTACATGCCATAGGCTGGCAATCAAACAACTGGTTCTGTTAATCCTGGTTGTTTAGCAGAGCTTAACCAAAGAGGAAGGTAATTACCCACAGCATCTGCCTTGCAAATACTTTTCAATTAGCTGTATTGAGACAGTCACAGAAAGTCTGGGCTGGGGAAGAAGAGGGGAGGCTTGCAAAGGCTGCAGAGGAGAGCTGCGGCTTTTTGTTTTTAGATATAGCCCCAATAAGTGGAAATCAAAGTACCTTTCAGAAGGACAGTTGAGCAGATTTATCTGAGGAGCTAACAACTGAAATAGTAGAGAACATAGCAGAACTTGCATGACATTCCAAGATCACGCTAATTTTAAATATATATATTATTTTATGCCCTAAGCCAGGGATAGGCAACCTTCGGCACTTCAGATGTTGTGGACTACATCCCCCATAATGCTCTTACACCCATAATGCTGGTAAAGCATCATGGGAGGTGTGGTCCAAAACATCTGGAGTACTGAAGGTTGCCTATGGCTGCCCTAGGCGCTCCCCCATCGTTAGAAGACAAACCGTTTTTGATCTTGGTAAGACATTACTTCTCCTGAGCTAAGCTCTACAAACCATGGACTTCTGTCTCTCCAGTGTTAGTAGTGGAGGCAGATAGTGGCATCTGGAAGACTCCAGGTAAAAATGGTTTGACTGATAACAATGGGATGGTAGGGGTGCCAGATATTCAGTGGTTATGATGTTTTGAGAGTTATTTTAATATCCAAAGAGACACAATCCATTAAAGGAGCACTATAGGGTCAGAAACACAAACATATTTCTGACCCTATAGTGTTAAAATCACAATCTGGCCCCCACAGCCCCCTCTTGCCACCCTAAATATAGTAAAATCTTACTTGTATTTAAGTCTGCAGTAGTGGTCTGAGCTAATCACAATGCTTCCCGATAGGATTGGCTGAGACTGTGAAGGAGGCAAATCAGGGGCAGAACCAACACAAGCCAAACATAGCCCTCTCCAATCAGCATCTCCTCATAGAAATGCAGTGAATCAATGCATCTCTATGAGGAAAGTTCAGTGTCTGCAGCACTGCCCAAAGAAACAGTTCTAGTAGCCATCTGAGGAGTGGCCAGTGAAGTTATCACTAGGCTGTAATGTAAACACTGCATTTTTTCTGAAAATACAGTGTTTACCGCAACAAGCCTGAAGGTAATGATTCTCCTCACCAGAACAAATTCAATAAGCTGTAGTTGTTCTGGTGACTAATGTCCCTTTGAATTTCTAACCATTCACAATTTAAACTGACTTCACGTTTTCGGACAAAATGGTCAAATCAGCTATATTTACATTGCAGGTAATTTGGCCTAAAATCTAAGATTCACTTTAAATTTCCAATACGTCACACTTTTGTGAATAACTTGTGTGATTTTTTTTAAAAAGTTCTCAGTTAGTACAATAACGAATGTTAAGTTGTCACAATAAAATGTATTTTTATGCCTTTATTTAATTTTTTTTTTTTAAAATGTAAAAACTTAATTCGTTGCCAACTTTTTTTTTCCCATTTTTGGATTTATAGAAAATTAATGTAGAAAACTTACTTTATCTGCTTAGTGCTTTTGTACCGGATAAACAGTACTATGGGATAGATATGGACACTGTGCAGTCGCTCAATAGCATGAGGTGCTATGTCCAGGAGACAGTGGCAGTCCTAGGGAATAAACACAGGGCCAATGGTAATTACATGCAGTTACTTTTACCAGAACTGTGCAGTCAGTACACAAAACCTTCTCCTCAATTTATATTGCCTCCGGCTCATTATATAATGTACACTAGTGGTTAAAATTGTGGAAACCTCTTGGAACCCATTGGAAAATGTTTATTTCTAAAGTTTAATGGCTCAGTCTTTTTTTTTTTTGGATATCATAAAATTCTATATCATTAGAAAAGAGAATGTACTATAACAAATGTGTTGAATTATCTTCGTTCTATCATACGTTATAGCTGAATAACTAGAAAAATAATACACTCCTGCCTTATATAACACAAATAATGTATAATTACATTACAATTTACCATATATGCTGGCGTATAGGTCGACATTTAAATATATATTTTTTTAAACGAACGGTCGACTAATACGAAGAACAGAAAGGAGTTTATGGTTACAAGGCAAAGATGTCCATAAGGCCTTGGTCTAAGTCTTTTATCCTTAAAGAAATAGATTTTCAGGAGCGCACACCATCACTCGGCTGAGCATGCTTAGGAGCTATTAAACAAATTTCGGGAGTTACATTACTGCTTGTGGTATTGTATCATTCATATGAAAAAACAACATACTCGCTGGAGAGATATGTGCACGTACGCATTATCGATCAGCAAAAAGAAAACCAAAAAAGCTACACAATAATAATTTATTTATGTTTAAACCCTGAACATCTTATTAATTGTATAATAAAATAACAGGATACAGTAAGTGAAACAACATTCATAATTTTATATCAAAAGGGACGATTTGTTGAATTACGCAGCCTATCCTAGGTCCAAATCATAAGTGTGCTAGTCCAAAGGCAAATGTTTCACATTATTTAGGCCGTGGCTTATCTGGTGAATATAGGCTTAAGCCTACAGAATACCTCTCATTATTGGTGAGGTACATATACGGAACATTTAGTCTAAGTATAACTCAAAATTGCTTCCGACAAACAGCTCTGCTTTTGCCCAGAAAAAAAAAACAATCACCGTAAACGGACGGATTATAGTTTCATAAATACCTTTTCGGTTATCTCCTTTATCGAAGCTACAGTGGTGACATCAAAATGCCCACTACGCCGCTTGTAGTCTATGAACAGACAATCCTTCACCCCACGTTCTATAGCCTGTTGTGATGCTTTCATTATCTCTGCAAAATAAATATTGTGTGACCAGAGATATTTAGCCTCTACATTGATTGTCTTTTAGGATAAAGGTACAGTAGTCAAAAGATTGCAGAAATAAAGAATTTCATTATTCAAATAATTTCTGCATATAGTTGTACTTTTTTAGAATTAAAAAAAAAAAAAATCATGGTGGAACATCATAGTAGACCTACATTTTGTAACGTATGATTCAGTGTTTAGTGATTTGTCTTCTCCTCACTGTGTAGCAGCTTACGCCATTTCAGTTTTACAAAGTGTGGCATGGTTTATATCATATTGTCATGGTTCTAGATCTTAATATTTTAAATGCTCAAGTGAAAAACTCAAACATACCAAGAGGACATCTGCAGAATTTTCCAGGAGACTCTTTTACCAACATATCCTTAACAGCATCAACCAAGGGTCCCAAGATAAGCACAGGACGAGGGGAGGTGCAATCAACCCTCTGGACCTTCTGATATGCCAAATTCACAGAATCTGTGTAAAAGAGGAGAATGTAATTATAGACAGACACAGAAGACAAAGAACAACCAGCTATGATAAGAAACATACAGGAAATGGTGTTAGAAACACCTAAAATCTGATTAGGCTTCACAGACCTTTAATAAAGGACTGACACTTTTGTGGAAATTTAAACAAACAAAAAAAAATCCTCTCACTATTTCTCAAACCGGAGACACTACTGAGCAAGACCACCAAATGTGGCATCCATTTTACAAGTACTCAACATCAAGCCTCTGAAATCACCCCACAAGACTCAATCTACCTCCACCCCTGACTGGTCCCAATATCAAGGGCACACGGCCAAAGTAGAGTTGATTATACTTCCTCAAAAGTAAGATAGCCAAAACAGTTCCTATGGTGTAGCAGGCACCCACCTCTGCAGCTCCAAGCAGGGATAGACAATTGGCAAAAAATAAAAGAAAGAAATTGACAGGGAGGGGAATTGACGGGGGAGGGAGGGTGAAAGAGTGGGGAGGGGAGAAGAGAGTGACAAGCAGGGGAGAAGAGAGTGACAAGGGAGGGGGGAGATGAGAGTGACAAGGGAGGGGGAGAGACTGACATCCATCACACACACACAATGCACCCCTTACACACAGAAAAACACGCAATGCATTACACACAAGCAATGCAACCCTTACACACAATAACACACAATGCATTCCTTACACACACTCAATGCACCCCTTACACACACTCAATGCACCCCTTACAGACGCACACACTGCATCCTGTACATACACAGAAACACACCTTGCAGCCCTTACACATACAAACACAGATTCACACAATGCATTCCTTACACACATATCAGGACATCCCCTACACACTCCACCCCCTGTGAACAAACTCATTGGTGGAACATGAAGGTGGACCCTGGGACCCAGACCTTGAGCTGTGTAAAGGGCCCCCCAAAAATGGAGCTGCTTCCCGTTCTCCCAGAACATTGATTTTTGTGACCACAGTTACAAACAGCCTCCAGAGAGCCTGTTCTACACCAGACCAGTGGAGCCAGACTGCAGCTAGAGCCCATCATCATCCTCATCTTGTTGTAAGTAGGCAATCTAGTATATTATTTGTGGCATTAATCTCTAACTTACCTCACATTAAAGAAACACTATAGTCCCGAGAACCACTGAAGCTTAATGTAGTGGTTCTGGTGTCTATAAGCCTGTCCCTGCAGGCCTTTTAATGTAAACACGGCAGCACTGCAGCACTGGCGTTAGTTAACATGGCAAATCAAATGGGTGGGGCATTGTGATGTCACATGGGGGGGAGGGGGGGCGGCAAAAATCCTTGCACCGGTCCTGCATCTTAAGTGTTTAAGTACAGTGATGTAAACAGCAGGAAGCTGGGGTCTAATGAGTACACAAGATCCCAATACAGATTTTACACCTCTGAGAAAAGCATTGGGGAAAAAAAAGGCATAAAAAGGAGTTGCAGCTTTTAGCAACGAAAATGCAGATCACTTGATTAAATTACACCTTGCATTTATTATAAGCTAAAGTAAATCAAATCTGTGGGTAACCAATGTGAATTTGTATTTGTGATACCACACGCATTATGATTGGTTCTCCCCAATTTTAGGCTTTCATTGTGCCAATAAAAATGTTCTCATGTTTTATTTCTCACCATCCATAAAAGGGATAGAATCGGTGCTAATTGTATCCAGGCCTTGCAGATCTTTGCCATCTCGGGACCCACTGCGCTTGTGTTTGTGTTTCCTGCGGAAAAAGGAACGTCTGGCCGCAGCAGATAGTGTCTTTCCCGCCGCCCCTTCATCCCGTACCTCCGATACGCTGAGTCTCCTGGAGAATTCCTGCTCCATCCTGAGAAGAAATAGAAACATGGTTTCAGGCCAGTGTTTAAAATGATTTTATTTTTGCACGAGCATTTTGAAATCTAATCACAATGTAACAGTTTCAAATATTATCATGCAATATCTGTATCTTTACAGGAAGGCTTTCAATATAGAGGCAGGTGGTCCCCTACATGGCTTATCATCACCACTATAAGATGATAATTCCTACGTTAAGTATTGAAGGCGACATGAGATTAACATTTTTCAGCTTTGATATTTCATTTAAATTATGCAAATCCTAAAACACTGTTTCATGAAAGTCGTGATTACTCTCTCCAGGACCCATTTCCCAAGGTTTTTGAGTTTACAGTAGTTGGGCTATGAGATGGAGGTCCCAACTGATGCTTTTGGGGAAGGGAAAAAATTGCCTACCAGCCCGGCCTACTGTTGGTTGTGGTCATGTTGCATTATGAATAACAAATAGAAAAGGTATTGGATTTCTTTAAAAAGGAATCAACACTTCCTTAATTTTACCATAACAGTCAATTAAAAGTTAGCTATAGAATATGCTACAATCATTTCAAAATTCTCTATAGCTTATTTTATTTTACATACTTTGCAGGACTGTATAAAAATGCCAGGTGTGCTTGTGCACATACTACACACAGCATTTTAGGATTCATGATACAATGGACGAGTTAGTGAGAACATGTACTTAACTCCTTCTTATTTAAATAAGCAGAGCAAACTCACCAAGCTGGAACAGTTTGTTATTTTTTGGTTTTTGTTTTTTTTAAAGTTTTGTTTAAGGATATGTTACAGCAGCCAGGATGGAAGGAACACTAAAAGCTAAGATGGGCACAAGGATACTAAAGTGTATTGATCAATAAGTCTCTGTGGTGTCTTTCACAAGGAAACCTAAAATCACCTGCATTGATAATCTGCTGCATATGTTAAAGGGAACATAAGCATGCTTGATAACACAGACTGTATTTCTTCCTAATTATTTCAATAATGGCACAGACGAGCATTTTGCTTCCAAGTGTTTGGCAGAAGAATATTCTATGGCAGGGGTAGGCAACCTACGGCACTAGTGCCATGCACGGCACTCGAGGTGTCTTTGCACGGTACTCGAGGCTGCTAGAGCCAAACACACTCTGGCCTATCAGGAGTCCCAGTAAAACTTCAGATATCTGCTAATACGAAGAGGTGGTGAAGGACAATCCTCAATTTATGCATTGTAGCACTAGGAGGAAGTGATCTCAGATCACTTCCTACCAGCACTTGTGAATGGGAATGGGAATCCACACTGTAGTAGAGCAGCCCTCGACAGCTATCGCAGCTCCTGTTCTTGACCTGTACCTGGCCAGCCTGGTCCTCACTGGAACAGAAATACACAGAAATGCAGAATAACCCTCCCCTCATTCAAATAATATGAACAGCCCACACACACACACAATCCCCACAAATGCAACACCACTAACAATCCACATACATGCACAAAACCCCACATGCAGCCTCACATGCAATACCCCAAACAGCCCCCACACACTACCAAACACACAATGATACACAGCCATCCACACACAATTCCACAAGCAGCCCTCATACACAGCCCACATTCACATGTATCATACACGACACCATAAACTACTCCTGAACATATACAATATAATAGCTCAAATACGCACAAATACAACGATACAAAGCAATTACAGTAAAAATAACACAAGCAGAATACGGCAGCATACACACCTCAATTAAAAAAAAAAAAATAGGATCGGCATGCTACGGGACATTACAATCCTATATCAGCACAGTGCTGCTAAAAGGTTGCCTACCCCTGTTCTATGGCTTTGTTTGTCTTTTTGCTCTTACATGTATTTGCTGGGGATCTGCCCTTTCTCCAACTTCTGTGCATTCTCATCCAGCTGCCACCCGTTCCACGTGCCGAAGACCCCCTGTGGCAGAGTATCATCCACGAACAGTATGTCATCCTTCTTAAAACTCAACTCCTGTGGGAGCTCTGCTTGTCGTTCATAAAGTGCTCTGAAATCAAGCATACATATAAATTCCATTGGACCCTTGCTGAACCTCATTGACGTGTGCATATTTTACAGAGATGAAACGCAGTCAAATTGCTGGCCGTAATAAACAAATCTCCGGGGTAATAAGAATATATAAAAGAGACAAATCAATAGGGCAGGTTGTGTCCGAAAGAGAAATCAACTCGATACCTGGAAGTCAATATGTAGATATGAAAGAAAGAAAAAAATAAAATAGAGATATATATCAAACTGTTTTTGACACCATGCTAAATAGAGGCTTTGCCTAAATCTAGATTTTAACCTGCATTACACATTAATTGCTTCTAAAAATGTCTAAAATGCTTTAATGTAGAATACAAACACATAACTATGTTCCTTTGGAATATTGCACGTGTCCAACAATGTATGGAATTGGTGCTCAATAAAATATGTAATCAAAAACACAGCATGGCTTGTGTGGCTCTTAGTTGAAATTGGGGATTTCACATCTGCTGAACACTGACCTTACATAGAATCCATCTCCGGGCTGGTCTTTAATTTTGTTGAATTCTTCTATTTTCTGTTGCACTTTTAGTTTGACATTTTCAACAGGTTTGAGCATTTCCAGGTATACTTCTTCTGCTGTTCTGTTCCTCATATCCACGCAGCCATACTGAGGTGGACAAAAAAAATATATAAATAATATATATAAAAATAATTTCCAGTGTTTCTTGTTAATGAACAAACTTACCTCTAGAATCATGTCTCCAGGCATCAGACCCTCAGGTCCACTGGCCACACTGTCATCCTCAAATTCTAGAACAAATATCCCATGCAGGTTCCCACCACAAATCTGCAATCCTAGTTCCACAGGAGACTTTGGCAGGATAACTGTGCGAAGCTCTGTGTGTCTTTTAATCCCATCAGGGGCCCTGGACAAAATATGTAAGTAGAGAATATATAAAAAAAAAAAAAGGATGAAAATACGGTTACTCTCATAATAGAATTCACAATATTTATTTTAAGCTAGACTCACAACCAGCAATGTAAATTTAAAGGACCACGCTGTACTGATTTAATTAAGAAAAAATACTGGTTAGTAGATATATCCCCAATCAGTGGCAGCTGGGAAGTTTTAAAGGTGGTGGGGTGCCAGACTCCTCTCGCAGAATTTTACTTCTCCCTATATATCACAGAGATACTCATACAATACAGAGAGGTGAGCATAATAGAGAGATGCTCATGCAATAAAACAAGCTGGGCACAACACGAAGAGATCTATAAAATACATAGAGCGGAGTACAATACAGAGATAACCATATCATTAACAGAGCTGAAAAAAAAAATAGAGAGATAATACACAGAGCTGGGCACAACACAAAGATACCTATACAGGCTGAGTAAAATACAGAGATACAACAGAGTTGGGAACAAATGGGAGATACCCATAACTACTAGACACAGCCAGCACTGTGATGGATTAGAGAGAGTTGCAATACAGAAATATCCACACAGTACATGTCTCTGTATAATGCTCCAGCTCTCTCTCTCTGCCTACCTTCCTAGCCTCATCTTGCCTCTTCCTCTCGTGATCTCATCGTCCGTAGTGCTTCGCTATGATAACTTCCACCTTCTATTAAATGTTGCTGCTGTTATAAAACAAGTCAGCTACTCCATTAGCTCTCAGCACATAGTGTGCACATGGATAAAGCATCAAGATACTGATAGACTCCCTATTATCTTGTAGCTGGCAATATTTGCAGTGGTAATATGGAGCTAAAAAGTAGCTGACATGGTTAACAGAAGCAACAATCATTACAGCTGGAAATAGACGAATCAAATTCAATTCAGTCCTCAGAGTCATAGCCCCAGTCCTGCAGTTGGAAGCTTCACAACGTTTCAGCTAGCCACAGCATGAGTGTCTAATCTCTCAGCTGTAGACTGACTGATCACTTTAACACCTTAAGGACACATGACATGTGTGACATGTCATGATTCCCTTTTATTCCAGAAGTTTGGTCCTTAATGGGTTAAAGCGGCACTGTCACCCCCACCTTGCAAAAGGAATATTTCATAAAGATTAAGTCTTTATGAAATACTCATATGGACTGTGTTGGAATTAGACTGAAACTCCAACACAGTCAAAATATATTTTGAGATAAAGTAGGTAATTTTTCCTACGGCTGATACTAATCGACATTGGGCAGAGCTATCCCTGTCTAGAAATGTCAATCTCCCGCAGGATTCACCATATTCTGTACTTTTGCTGAAGAGTTCTGGTTGGCTATGGAAGGATTAAGCTAACCTGAATGCAGTGGTTGTGGTGCCAGGAGTTCCTCAGTGCCCCTCATGGACTGATATGTGGGCATATCCTTAAGTGTAGGAACTTTTCTTATCTTTTAGTATTTTGGGTTTGTTGTTTTTGAATAGTTTTAATGTATTATCAATACAATGCATAAGAAGTGGCTCAATGTAAGTTTACATAATGAGCAAATAGTCACCTGAGTGAACTGCGGGGACTTGTGCTGGGTGTAGTCTCCTTTGAAGGTGGCGTCATGGTCCCTTCATCCTGCTCACTCACAGTATCAATGACGGAATGATTATCAGGAGTTGCTGCACCACTGCTGTGCGGCGTGGAATGAGACATGCTTGTGTCAAGCCGGGAACTGAAAGGAAATAACAAAAGCCGTGTCATACCTGACAAATTACTTTTCTTCAGGATGGTGAGAGTCATGACAGTACCTCGGAACTGGAGGAGGTAGAAACACCCATAATGCAATGCTTTAGAATGTACCTCCTTCTCTTACCAATCATTGAGAATACTCCGTCCTACAGGAAAAGCAGGAAGAAACCTCAAAGTGAGCAGGACAGTTGAAGCAAAAGCCAAGGTAACCACTGATGGGCAAAGCCTCTTGAGCTCTCACTATTTGAAAGGATCAAAATGATCAAATCTGGAAAACATGCCAAGATCAAACTGTAGGAGTTATGAGAGACCTTTGGAAATATCCCACTAGCAGACAAAGAATTCTCGGAGAGGGTGCAAGTGGAACCATGTCCAAAGACACCATGAAGCACAAAAACTCAATCAAGCCATCCACCATGAAATTATTGGAAGAGCCTGAAGCCAAGAACAAGTGTAGTGAAATATTGGGGTGCTTCCACAGGTTTAAATAACTGAACGAGCACATCAACACTTTAAGACTGCACAGCACATCTAAAACAAGAAAACGCCTCGACCTTAAAGATGTATCAGAGTGTTCAGAGTGAATTCAAAGTGAATTTTAAATTTAAGGTCAAAATAGCTGAACTGCAAAATTCTCCCAGTCAGCTATGCTTCCAGATCAGCCACTTTGGCTTTCAATTTCAAATTTACTTTGAATCCCCTGCAATTCTTAGTGAATAACCATGTCAGACACATCCCCCTTTATAAAATCCTGAAGAGTGCATGAGAACTCAGCCAGAAGTGGAGTCTGAATGACAACTGATCAAGCTGCTCAAGGCTAAGCAGAATGAGAAACCATGCTCTGTGAAAAAGGAAAAAATACAAGGAGCTAGGAACATCACTATATTGTTCAGCAGTACTCCGACACAATCACTTCAGCACAGGGGACACAGTGCTAACTTGGTTAGCAATCACAGCTTTAAAATAAGCATGAAGAGTCTACAACTTAACTACTTCTACTTCCTGCACACATCATTGTTTAATGGAATTGCACGTAAAGTTCCTGCACACGCAACTCAAAGATTTTTTGTTACCATAAGAAAAACATTGGAAACAATTTTGACTTGCACTGTAAATGTTTTGAACCCCCCACCTAACCCCACTTCTTTTATGTACCCCTACCCCCACCCCAACATGGAAAAGAGAAACATGAATATAAATAAAGAATTTATTTTAAAAAAAAATAAGCATGAAGAGTCCAGGGGAATTTACTAATGCTCAGAAGCCCTACCCACTTTTTATCCCCCCTCCTGTTGACCACACTAGTGCACACTGGTCAATAGTCTTCTGCACATTGGCTCTAGATTAGGTTGAAATAAGGAGAAACCTCTTTCCAACTGATGGTATGTGAAACCCACGAGTAGGAGAGCATCAGTGTCAATGCTAAGGTGCCCTCCATGCTCATTTATGAGAGAGGATACACCCTGCCTGGAGCTCAAGCCCTGGTGTCCTCAGTGGTCTTCACCCTTCAAGAGGCATCATCCTGGACAAACCAGGAAAGCAGTGGACTCTGCAGGTTGCTCAGAAGGCTTCTGGTCAACAATTCCAGCCCCATGTACACCTCTGTCAACGTCTGAGCCATATAGTATTTAGCAGTGGAACAAGGTATCCCTCATTAAGGGAATATCTCTCCACCTTCAGGCTTGTAAAATAAATTCTAAAATTTAACTTCAGTCAGATCTTCAGCCGGTCCACTTTCCTCCTGAGAAACAAAACTAAGGATTCTAGAAGGGAGGCTAGAGTGGTAGAAGCAGGTTGAAGCAGTGCATTATGGATGCTTTTGCCTCCTCCAGTAGGGAGTGACTTTATGTCATAAGTCATGACCTCTGGAATCTCAACATCCAATGAGAGGAAAAAAGTGATTGCAAAAGAATGAAATAAGGAGAAAAACAAAAAAACAACAGTATATAGATACATCCATTTATGGTATCACAATCTGCACATACGATAGAAAAATATCAGGAAAGCGTGGGTAGAATTTGTTGGAACAGGTGCCCCTACCTGGAACGAGAATGGATTTGCTGACACATATGTGGGTTGTATTGTGCCAGGATGGTGATTGTATCGCACTGCTGTCCAATTATCAGGCGTGCCTGTTGCTCCGTGGCATTCCTCAGGTTTATGCCATTGAACTGCAGATAAGGGAAAATGAATTGACATGGATATAATGATAAGCAATCTCCAAGACACATCCTTTGAATTATAGGAATGGAAAACACCATTCACTACCACACAAATAATACATTCAGCAAACAGCAAAAGCGTGGCAAAAGAGTGGCATTATTTACAAAGTTTCTTGAGTTTCAGAGAGAGGGAGAGTTTCTAGTGAGGGGAAAGTAATAAAATAGTGAGAATTGCGAGAGTGGGACACAAAGTGTAGAATAAACGAACCCCAGAGAAATCAACGTGTTACATTCTCAAACAGTTGAGGTCTATTTAGCCATCCTGTCTGAAAACAGAATCACTAGCTCATAGCGCAGATCTACTCAATGTATCTGAACATATTTCTGAAAATGATGGAACCAATTGTAACCATCTGAGGATGAGATTGGGGGAAGGGAATGAGGTATTTAACCAGACCTTTCCTCTAGTAGCCACTGTAATTCAGTGATTCAAATAACACGACTAAACAGTTGAAGGAAAGTATTAAAGGGACACTATAGTTACCAGAACAACTACAGCTTATTGTAGTTGTTCTAATAAGTATAGTCCATTCCTGCAGGCTATTTGCAGTAAACCCTGTACTTTCAGAGAAAAGGCAGTGTTTACATTACAGCCATAACACCTCTAGCGTCCACTCTTCAGATGGCTACTAGAGGTGTTTCCTAGGTCAGTGCTGCACAGTGTGCAGTGAAGGTTAGTGCAGCACTGATGCCCAGCATCTCCGAACTTTTCCCTTAGAGATGCATATCTCTATGTGGAGATGCGGCTTGGTCAGGACGGAGTTTAGCTCTGCTCCTAATCACTCCTCATAGATGCGCTGGAAATAAGGACCTTTTTTAGTTATTTAAAGGGCTGTGGGGGGGAGGGGGGAAGGGGGCAAGAAAGGCTAGCATTCTTTTTAACACTCAGGGCCTAGGAATACACATTTGTGTTTCAGACCCTACAATGTTCCTTTAAGCATGAAAAGAAACTATAAGCCATGTTTTAGTCAAGTAGGTTTGGAGTAACCTTTTAATAAGTGTACAGTTATTTTAATCAGTAATGACTGACTTGGTAACCAAGCACACAAGTGAAAACTTTGCCCATAGACAGAGTTATTCACTAAAGTGAGAATTCAAAGTGAAAAATAGACACACTGGAAACCTTTTCTAACCTTAAATCTGAATTTCACTTTGAATTCTCACTTCGTGAATAACCCTGAGAGACTCCTAAAAGCAAAAGAAGTGGTCATGGGGGTTGTAACTCTTGTAGATGTCACTTGAGGATATTTTGAATAGAAAATGCATTAACATAAGAAGAAAAATAATGAACAAATTAATAAATAAAATATGACTTCCTTCAAAGTGTATGCCAATATACTGCAAGCTGGAGCAACAGGCAGAGAGATTCCTTTCAGCCCAAGAAGAGTCCCAATCAATCTTAAGAATCTAATTGTGGACCAGTTTGGTTTCTTTTCTCTCACCCCATAAACCAGTGCCAGGCAAACTTTTAGCAGCACTGGGCCAAAAATTTTATTTATATATATATATATATAAATATATATATATTTATTTTTTGTTAAACAGATATTCATTTAATAACCTCCCTCCCTATTAGGGTGAGGTAGGGTAGGTCATGTTCATTTTACCTAAGGGGCATTGGCTTGGAATCCCCTAGCCACCCGGGAAGGGGGTGTACCATGCCACTAATTAGGGGTGGGCAATGGCATTTCCACCACACTTATATAATTATTTAGAGTCCCCACCTGCTGTCAGTGAATGGGGGCTAGAATTGACACAACCCCCATGACCACATGTGGGAGCATGGGTGAAGCTATGCCCACCCCCTATAATTTTACTGGCCTCAAATTTAGTAAATATGCCACATGTGGACTTTAGTGAAAAATCCTTTGAGTCTCACACTTGGATCAATGCCAAAATGCCTGCCAATCTCTTATCTCCCACTCAAAGCTGTATCAAGTGCTTCTGTCAGTAGCTTCTAGCCAAATACAGGAGAAGGCTTAACCTAACCATATCTATAATAATCAAACTGAGCAGAATACATCACAGTTTCACAGTATAAATAAAATAAATAGACAACGGTACAAAAACAAATCATAAAAACATACAAAATATGCAATAAATTAATCTAGAAATTTACTTAATTTGGTAGGATCAGTTTTCAGTCCATATAAGCTAGTGGCCCATAATTTATGTCGGTAGAAGGTCACATGACAAGTGGTCCCTAAATAAGTTGAAGTATCGAGATCCAAACCTGAAATTTGCCTTGCAAACTAATGTTAGTCTGCAATAGGCATCAAAATGAAAACACACATGTGCATAAACCTTTTTATCAATTGCAAAAGAAGATCGTTGTTGCGCCTACTTAGAAGTATGTAACAACACTGCCAAACGCCTCTCTTGCGATATTTTAACTTCCACACACCAGATTTCCCAGCCAGATCCCAGTATCTCCACTTTGAAACTAAAGATTAATAGCATTGTACATATCAATAAGAGATACTTGCCACGTGTAAAATCTTCAATACAATTTTATTAAGAGCTAAAATTATGCGTATACTTAAACAGGTAAAATTTCGCCAAATACTGCTGTCACGGTCTCGGAGCAACACTTTTCACACTATGGCAACCAGGCACTTTTCGTCTTGTTCCTAAGACTTGGTCAATGGCTTCCTGAAAAGTCTACATATCCATGCTTATATAGCGAAGTAATGTGATGCTAAAAAGGATGTCTGTACAATATAATGAAACCACTTTTCATGTGACCTTTTACTGGAATAAATTAAGGGCCTTTGCTTTATATGGACTGAAAATAGATCTTGCCAATTTAAGTACATTTCTTGATTAACTTTAAAATATTTTGCATGAGTTTTTTTCTGATTTTTGTACCACTGTCTATTTTATTTATTAATTGCTTTATTTATATGCAGCTTGGTTATTAGAAATATTGTTTGGTTAGCTGGGTTTTTTTCACCAACATTGACAGGTATTGTGTTTTTCCTGGTGCCAGGAATGGCACTCTGAACCACAAACCATATAGAACCTGTTTGTACTTGCACTAGTCTGTTCCCCCAGAGATTCTGCAAGTGGCAGCTCAGAAATCATCACCCTATCGGCCCAAATTTGAGTTCAGCACAAAAAACAAAGTCCACCCTCCCAGACAAAGATCTTTAAACACACACAGGTAATCTTTCCAGCCACGGTCATTGAATACACACAGATACACTGTCAGACATGCACCCTTAATGCACAGCTAAGCATACACATATTTACATAATGCTTCATAGAAATGCACACAAAATCACATTGCTACAAGCACACAAACACACTGCTCGACACACATTCACAATAATATCTTAGCCACCCTTCTTTTTTCTTAACAATTAGCAACATTATGGGTGGCTTCCCTTTGGTCCAGTGGGGACCAGGCAGGCCAATCACAGGGTTGCTGCTGTAAGCGACTTTGTTGCCATATGGATTCCTCTTTAAAACTGCTAGGAGGAAGCGCTTTAAAATTACTTCCTCTCAACACGGATAGCTTGGTCAACACTAGAATAAATTTGCAGGGAAATATTGCAAGCTCTGCTCTCCCCAGACAGCCTGTGTTTCATACATTGCACACATGCCATATGTTGTAGTCCCCTGGTCATAAATTCATGTTCAGGAGGTGCTTATGTCATTCTACACCCAGCCATTGGATATGCAGTCATATAGCAGCTAAAAGTACAGCTGAAATTGTGTGTGTATGCACAACATGGACAGAGATTAGACAGCAAGCCGAAAGTAAATCTTCTTTGCCATCCACATCAGAAGAAGCAGTCTTCAAGTTGCAATAATGTGCAAGACAAGGACCAGAGAAAAACTTGTGATATAACCTACGCAATAAGCATAACCTGTTCTGGTGCTTGCAGCGTCTTTGTAAGAATGTTTTGTTATCTTTTTAACAACACTCTCTTTACTCCTTTATGGGTGCAGCTATTATTTTTGTTTCACTTATGTAGAACTACTTCAATTATGTGTTTCCAAAGATAGTGCAATAAATTCAGTGAAGAAGTTTAAGCATGCATGTAATAAGCATAAGGCTATCCTAGCTATAAGATAAGGCCGGGGACTAATGAAAGTATTTAGAACATTGGGCAGACTAGATAGGCCGAATGGTTCTTATCTGCCTTATCACATTCTATGTTTCAATGTTTTTATGTTTCTAATAAATACCTCTAGCAGCTGATCTCCATACTCCAGCCCAGCTTGTTGAGCGATGCTTCCAGGTGTCACTTTAGAGACAAAGATGCCCCCACTCTCCCCTCCACCAATGGAAATTCCGAGGGGCTCTGCTCCTTTCTGCACCTTCACGTGCCGCGGCTCCTCCACTAGTGGTCTGTGAAATGCAGTAGATTTAGTTAATGTGCCGCTTATAATTTAATTGGCCTTGTCTGCAATTGAATTCATTAATGTGGATCTGTCCTTATTGTGCATGTTAAAGTTCCATTTTTTTTATTTAGTATTTTACATAAATGTAGGTCTAATTTACCTCTTGGCCATTTTGTTCTGAAGGTAATGTTAGGCTTAGTCAAAATGTTAACTGGCTTTTAAGATTAACATTATATACGGTAGTTAACGCATTACAGAATAGATGCAAAATGGAAAAAAAAATTATACAAAGTACATTTTAAGTTCCTTAGTTTCTGCCTAAACTCTGTAGATTCTGTCATGAGCCATCCCCAAGGCAGGATGTGACTCAGCCATTCATGATGCTAGTTTAGATTTTCTACAATACTACTGTACTTATCCCTTTATTGTCACCCTTCACCTTTTGTATTGTAGGGATGACAGCATACATAGCAATATTATTGGAGAAAATGGGGTAATACTGGAGGTTGGGACCAGGTCAAGGGTTTACAGATCAAACTAATTATAGTAATAAAAAAATAAAAAAAAACAACAGCATTACTGTAAATCTTCAAGACATACTCCTACTTACACTGCACCAGTTTAACTAGAATGTTTGCTATTTTTAGCCATCAGCCATCCTCAAGTTACACTATAGGGCGAGCCAGTTAAAATTATCATACTGCCACGGGAAGACAACATCATGATTTTAAATGGTAAGCTGTACATTTATACAATGATCATTTGAAAACAGGGCACAGAAAAGAAAAACTAAATATATAAATACATTTTAAATAATACTATCAACTTTGTGGAAACAAACTAACATTTGAAAACACGTTGCACCCCCTAACATTGGAACATAAAAAACAAAGTTTAAAAATATGTGTATCCAGCCAGTGTATTAATATGCCACCACAAATTTACTGCCCAAATCCCACTAATGTGCAAGTACATCCCCTACGTGTAGTAAAAATTAAGAAAAGTAAGGCGTTTACTTGCTTTTTTCCCCCAGTGTGGATGCTTCCTGGTTGCTGCCATTGCAATGCTCCTCAAAGAGGAACGGTCAGTACAATGGAAGTACCTCTAGTGGCTGTCAGGAAGAAAGCCACTAGAGGGTAACTTAACCCTTCAATGAAAACACTGCCATTTCTGAAAAAAAGGCAAATATTTACATTGCAGGGTTAAAAGAACATGCCACTGCATTCAGCCAACTTCAATGAGATGGAGTGACCTGGGTGACCTCACTGGTCATTTGAAGAGCAAACATGCACAGGGGTTTCAACTAGAAGGATACAGGATAATATCCTGTAATCTATTGTATACAGAAATAATATTAAAAGGTAATGAAGGATAATATTTTAAATAATTATTAACAAACATCTGAACAGCATAAGTAATGTCAGAATATTTTGCTATAGAGGAGAGATTTGTCAATTTCATCGCCCCTGTAAATACATTCAGAAAGACAAGCACTTTATAACTATATTATAAATATGTGCATATATGTTAAAAAGGCAGGGGTATAACAATATTCTACCCTGAATCCACCATTTGTTTAATCAATGTGTTTTATCACTTCGTTAAAGCAAAGAAACGGTGATACAACAGCAATAGGAATTGCACGTCCTCACTGTAATTCATAAAAATTGAATACAAAATAAAAATCTTCAGAGGATTGTATACATTCTAACATTATTAAAAATTTACCCAGAAAATACTTGGAGCCATTGCATGCACACACATGCGACATAACAGTAGGGAGCAGCATTTAATAATATACAGCAGGAGAGGCCAGCAATGCAATTCACTTGAGGCCTTCAAGCGGACTTTCCTCCGCAACATGAAGCCATATTTCATTTTATGGAAGCAGTCAGAGTACATTTTAAACATGCAGCCATGACGGGAGTGGACAGAAGCGAGGTGGACAGCACAGGCTCAGTTAAGAGGAATTATGAATCAGGATAAAAGGAGTGAGAATTATAATAAATGGAGGCCAACCTCAAGCATCTTACTGAGGAAAACCTGGGCCTAGGATGGGCTTGGAGCCGCAGTAAAGACCTAGTGCGGAAAACGTATCTGGAAGGTGTGGGGTGAGAGAAAAGATAGTAATGGCTGGGAGAAGAAGTGGGGAGGTTAACATGGAACAGGTGACACAAAACAAAATTAAATTGGACACGGTAATGTGTGGGAAAAGTGACCGTGGTGAGGAAGAGAAAAAAAAGGAAATGGACACCAGTGAGAAGAAAAGAAGGAAAATTAAGAAATACATTAATATAAGCATATATTAAAGAAACACACAAAACAATTACAAATCGTAATCAGAAAAACAAAAGTCACAAATATTTCTGATACTATTATTTTTTTTATTCCCATGGCTGATATCTAGGCCAAAACTAACACATGCAGCCTGGTTGCAGATTACTACTATGGTCATCACATGCCCTTGGCTAGAACTGGTCAGATGACCTACTGCTGTGTTCCTGAGACAATATTGTCTATGCAGTATGTGTCAACCTCTAGCCAGGCTGCATCCATCACCCTGCTCCATTTACACAAAGAAAGATGGTGCCGCCAGCAAAAACTTCCACCCTGAATTTTAGACCAAAATAGTCAAACTAGAAACTTGGTGAATTTTCCAGTTTTTTTTTTTTTGCCATATTACACTTTAACTTGAAATGTATTTGAATTTGCGACAATTCTGGAGTCTGGATTGTCCCTTTAAGTGAATAACTTTGTCAGATGGAAGCTCTAGAACAGGGCTGTCCAACCTGCAGCCCCCCAGATGTTGCTGAACTACAACTCCCATGATTCCCTGGCTATCTGTTTCATTGAATGAATCATGGGAGTTGTAGTTCAGCAACATCTGGGGGGCCGCAGGTTGGACAGCCCTGCTCTAGAATAAGACAAGGGGTAAGAATAAAGGGAGAGAGGGCTGACTGAAAATAAAGGAACATGTGTATTGCATTTAATTGATGGGGTGATAAAGGAGTACAAAAGGACATGACATAAAGGAGAGAAGCAGGACTGAGAAAAGTGTGGTGGCAAAGATACTGGGTATCATTTTCAGAGGAACATTTAAAGAAACCAAGAAGTGACATGTCCATTAACCAGACTTGTTCTTGTGATAGGCATAAAATGGGTGGAAAGATCAAATTCTGCTCACCTGTCCTTTCTCCGTTCCCCCATGGGGACAGTACTGATGGAGATCTTGGGTAAACTTGCAACAGAATTCTGTGACTGGCTACTGGCAAATGACGAAGTCTCCAAGTTGAGGGGTGAGTGAGGTGGGCTGGCCAAACTGGGACTACTGCACTCAGAGTGTGACAAGGACCCTGCAGATACATTGTAAAAACATATACAAGCTGCCCATGGCATGTAGTTCCTCCCCACCCACTTTTCTATATACAGTTTACTTAATTTTACATACTTGCCAATAAAACAGACTAGAAATGTTGGAGTTAAAAAAGAGTTGCATATGAACATCAAAAATAAAACAGGCACTGAATATCTTCCACAACCTCTAAATATGACAAACCTGAAACAACAATAGTAAACTAAATAAAGTTAGATCTATAAAAAGGTTATTAAAATGTATTAACACAAGAGCCAAACAATGTGACAGAAGAAGCACCAACGAATGCTCACAGATGACACATCTATTAGCACGACATCGATAATTTGCAAGGACATTGGTAGTTGCCTGCAACCCACTATCCAAAATCTTCCATTTTGTATGAGCTAATAGTTTTTTTGTTTTTGTTTAATGTTAACTTACATGAAGATTAGCTGAGAGGTTAAAACATAGCCAAATCAAAATCTTTAATATCTGGGAATATTTATCCAAAATATAAAGTTCATTGTAAGCCATATTGAAGTTTGTAACAAATATATTGCCTAACTGAATTCCAAATTTTCTCCATTCGCTGAAGACCTTTAATTTGTAGTCTTGAAATTCCTAGATGCAAGTCCATCTTTATCAAAATCAGTTAAAAAAAAAATGTTTTAAAAAAAAAAAATGTCTTAGACAGAGAAATTGGCCATATGGAACATTATCCACCCATTGAGGGTGACATGCACAACTAGCATGGAAATATCCGCCAATGTCTACTGTTTTTTTAAATGTATTTGTTACCGTCAACTACTCTGTATCCCTGACCTTGGCTAGTTTATTGATTTTGTGTATATCTATTGCCCTTGACCGTGGCCTATTTAATATTTTTATCGCTTGTTCTCTGCCTGTTCGGACCGGCCACTCTAAGGTTCGTTAATACACAATGTTATCTGTGGTTTTTCCTTTACTTGTGTGACTTGTTTCTGCATATTGGGGTTCCTATCCGGACACTATCCATTTTCAAATTTATTACGGAGTCATTTTAAATTATATTGGTTTTAAACATATGTTATGTAAATTACATTTGTATTCCATGTGGACTTTGTATGTTTCCACTGGTAGATAATTAAAGCTGGCTCTTCCTAGGAAGCACTACGCATGTCAGTCTTGAAAAGGTCTGGTCAAAACGAAACGCATAGATACAATTGGAATGCTGTTGGCAAGTTATTTCCTGCCCAGTTTCCTAGATTGTTTACCTGCATTTCTTTTATTTTGTGGCTAAAATATTTTTTATATTCCCTATATGGAATACATGTGCACTACAAGGACTACAAGCGGTGAGTAATTTCGGTGCTTTGCCCCTAGCTGCTATGGGCCTTTTATACCACTGGGGATCTTTTGACCATTCTACTGCCTGTAAATGGAGACACTTGTGAAAGACTGACTACGAGGAGGCATGGACATTTCCTTTGGTTTTATCTCAGGATTAGAATGTTTGCTTGAGCTGGACCACTCCACTCTGTACATTATCTGGCAGCATTATTTCTCTCTTTAGTCTGCTCTACGGTTTGGCGCCTTATCTTGCACTGCTTATACTGCTAATTTCTAGGAAATGTTATTATTTAAAAAGTACAGTGGGTGTTTATTGTTTTGCTTTTTGTTAATGTGCTGGTCTTTATATATGTTGACTTTTTATTGTTGCAATAAATTTGAATAACTTTATATAGCGCTACCTCTAGTTCGTTTACTAATTGTATTGTGGGTAGACACCTATTTATGGTTAGCTATTTTCCATGATATTCTTGTACAATAGCTTTTTTTTTTTTTTTTTAAAGTAGATATGTGCCTTATATATAACCAGCTTATATTTGTTCTACATAGACCTGAAATAAGTTGTCTTACCTCTGTCTGAGCTCACTGTACACCTTGGGTATCGTGGGGTTGATGGTATTTTAATGCGCTCAATTTTGGAACCTGGGAATTAGAAAAGCTTTTTATACCTTTTTTTCATATATCAGACTACCTGTATATCTTCACAACGTACAGATGTAAAAATGACTAATATTAACGCATGCAGCCAACATACACTTTAGGTTCACATACACTATGCACAAACATATGTATTCCCATTTCTATGTGTTACAACAGCATCTAATCCACACAACAACAAGAAAGCTAGTAAGTATGCCTTACCCAGACGAGCACTAGAGGGGAGAGAGTTGGAGCCATGAGGGACCCTAGGTCGTGAGTTATCGCAGTAATCAATTGGGTGTTTGTGACTCAGATCCAGGCTAAGCCGGCCATGATGTGCACTGCAAATACAGAGTTATGAAGAAAACATGCACACTTTGCATTATGCCAGATGCAGTGTACTATATTCATAATACTTTTTACAGAAACTTCATGTTGAGCATGAAATAAGTTCTGATAAAAATACATTTTATGGTTTGCTAGTACATAAACTAAAACTACCAAATCCTAAGCAGAACATAAAGACCTGTGTGGCAGTTCAATTTACAAAAAAAACAAAACAAAAAAAAACAAAAAAAACCCACCATGATAAAACAGACTTTTGAAACATTCAATGATAATGATATACTTTATGTATGTGATCACTAATACTAGGTCACAATGCTCTATGCATTGGATAAAGTCACTAGCACTGACCAAGTAAGAGGTTTACCCAAAATAGAAATCAACCAAAAAGTAATAAAAGAAAAAAAAAAAAAAAAAAGGTAAAAAAACTCTAGTAAAGTTTCTCTATGCTACTGTGAAAAGGATTAGTGTGTATTTTTAGCAGACAGTTGCATCAAAAGCAAATTATAATTAAAAAAGGAAACACAGTATATACAGTAATTAGCATGTGTCACTACATGTAACCAACATGTCTCAATATTCCATCAGTGATACCCTTTCTAGGCGTTATTAAGTATTGCCCCGCTGGGTAATAAATCTCATTTATTCATGATTTTTTTTAAAAAAATTTATTATTTATTTTTTAAACAGTGTACTAAATTTCAGTTTCTAGGAGTCTTGTGATGTTTATACTATACACAGAAATCCAACAAACCTCGCTCATAACTTTAAACTAGATATTGTTCAACCAAGTGATTTGAGCCTGGAGCCATCTAAGCCAAAGTTAAAGCCAGCAGATAGTTTTGGATATTAAATCTCAAATCTTTCCCAACCAACAGTATGCACGTCAGCCTATTCAGTTTAGGAAATCTGAAGGTATTAATATAAAGAGTACATAATATATAAAGATCAATTACTCAAGGGCATTTGATTAGCAGCACATGTCTGCCCACTTAATTCCTATGGACGCAGTAAGGGTGTACTTAGATTTTCACGCATGGCTTCTCCATTTTGGCTTTATTTTGTTAAACAAATCATGACACTGTGTACTATGTCATGTGTTGTTGTTCAACTGAGGTTGTATTTACCCAATTCTAAGACCTGCTAAGGGACAAATGATGGTTATTCGGTCTATTCATATAAAACCATAGAATTCAAAGCGGATGTACTTTCTTTTTCCCATGACTGTATATACATTTTATGTAGGAGACTAATTTTACCCTCACACTACCCATTTATACAGGTGGGAGGAGTGCACTACTATATAATACCACTTGTATACTTTGGCTGGATAAGTTACTGTATCCCAACCACTTGTGTACACGGTTTAACAACAGAATTTCACGAATATACATCATTTTGTTCTCCTGTTCACTTGGCTTGCAATATGGTATTGAGATGGCAATGACTGCTATGTTTCTGAGAAATTACTTTCTGAATCTGTCGAGGAGCCATGAACAGATAACTTTAAATTGTTATTTTAAACAATAAATGGGTACTGCACTGCAGCAAAACCAACACATTGGAGGGATTTGATTTTAACTTATGTTTTGAGGTCACTCGTATTCCGTACTAATTGTTTTAGATGCATATCACAATGCAGTGTTCTCTTTTTGTGTATAGGCTATACATGTGTATTAGCACAAAAGAAGACACGAGATTAACATAATTAATTGTTTTCCAATCCTGTGAACAAGTCCATCCGGTTAACCATTTATCACTATTTAGCACTTTTATCACGCAACTTGCATGTCACATGTGTCTTGTTTAACTAGTTAGTAGGGAGATGATCTTGATAAACCTACAACGTCATACCTGGGATGTATGTGCTGTTTGCAGGGTTGACCAGTGGATGAGGGGCAGTTGTTTGAAGGGACCCGGTGACTCCAGGCTGTGTAGATTGGATTCCTCAAAACCGCTGTCACTGCAGGACATGGAGCTAGGCTCCGCGGTACAGTACCTGAAACATGAAAGTAGAGGTGTTACCAGGCAAGATTATAAGAAGGTTAAACAAAGTGTATTAATAAAGATTTTTTTTCCCCCTTTTTATAAAATGCATACATAGTAAAGTAAACTTGAGAATATACCTGCAATAAGAAACAAAAGTACGGTTACAAAAGGTTGTATGGGAAAAAAAAAAGTAATTTATTTTATAGATCTGAAAGCACAAACTCACCTGACATTCCTGGGGCACAGTGTGAAGCAGAGAACATGTCACTGTGTCTCGGGAAACGCGTTGGAGAAAACCGAACCCACTCATGTGCAAGGTCCGGAGACAGTCTGTCCTCGGCAGTCTGGGGAAACTTTTGGGCCTGCTGGAGGGGACAATAGGAATGATAAGACCGGTGACCATTTGTGCATGCACACAGTACTTATATAGTCAATCATCATAAAGCTCCAATATGGTTTGAGTGTACCTCCATCTGTATTTGTACTAGTGGTAAGGAGTAGTTGTTCACACCTGCAGCATTGTAAGTGTTCAAGCAGGAGCAAGAGGCCGAAAATAGGTAAGGATCTTCTTAAAACAACTTACTAGTCATACAGACAAGTAGAAATGGGATTACCTGTAGACTGTAAGCTTGTTTGAGCAGGGTCCATTAAAACCTATTGTTCCTGTAAGTTACAACTTTTATTTTAAGTTACATCTTGCCACTGATCAAGTTCTAGAGGCCTTCTAGACCTGAACGTACCAATCTGACTTGTAAATTACACACAATGTCATTTATGGTTTCACGGATGTCTATTTATGTCACAGATGTATTTAGCAGACTGTTTAAAGAGGAGCTGACACTTCTCTGGAAATCACACCATTAAATAAAACATTGCAAGTCACCGATAACTTGTATTAAAGTGACACTATAGGTTACCAATAGAACTTGTATAAAACACAAAGTAAAATGGCTCAGGATTAGCAGTGAAAATCAGGGTAGTGAGCCAGATCTTGATAAAACTAGCATTACCGAGTGAAAAGCTCACAAGTATTTAAAGGCTACGAGGAAGCTACGATAAGAGTGAAATGCCTTGTTTTAAGACGACACTGGCACAACAGTTATATATTCTGTTTTTATTGCCGACTGGCAACCCTGATTGGAACACACCGTCTATTGATAGTTATTCGCGGATTACAGAAGATACACAGATCCAGGGACGTTTTAGCCGCGAGGCAAACAAGGCATTTGCCTTGGGCGGCATTTTTCAGGGGGCGGCAAAAAAAGCCGGTCAGGCTGAAGGGCTGGCGAGGGAGCACTTCCTCTGAGCTGTCTACTCCGCTCCCTCGCGCGCCGCAGAGTGAGGCTGGGAACCGGAACATGACGTCATATTCTGGCTCCCAGCCTCAATCTGCAGCGCGCGAGGGAGCTGAGCAGAGTGCTCAGAGGAAGTGCTCCCTCGCCAGCCGCCCCAGCGCGGCCCGCCCAGCAGCCACTGGACCCCCAGGGAGATAGAGAAATCCCCCCTCACCCAGCCTCCTTACCTTTGGGGATGCTAGGGGGGGAGGGGGTTCTCTATCTCCCTGGGGGGGGGTTAAATAAAAAAAAAAAAGTGTTAATGTGAGTGAGTGTGTGCGTCTGTCTGTTAGTGTGTGTGTGCGTCTGTGTTAGTGTGAGTGTGCGTCTGTGAGTGTGCATCTGTGAGTGTGCGTAAGTGTGTCTGTTACTGAGTGTGTGTGTCTGTTAGCTAGTGTATGCATATCTGTCAGTGAATGTGTGTGTGTGTGTGTATTTAGAAGGCGGGGCGGGGGGGAAGGGTTGGGTGGGGGTGGCGTGGGGGAGTGAGGGGGCCTAGGGCAGCACAAAACCAGGATACACCACTGCACAGATCGTTAATCAATCGAAAGGTTTTCTACTATGTTCAATGAAGAGCTTAGGAGAAAAGGCAAACTATCAATATGCATTGCCATTAAACATTTTATAAACAACATGATGAAATTCAATTACAAATAAGTTACAACATAAATAGTTAATAGGCATCAGATATCTTAGCTTGGAGTTGGTATAGATAGAGATCCATGTCTATAAAACATTTAAAAACCAATGTGCTGGAGAATATATGGGTACTTGATAATAAAATAAATAAAGTATATAATCTGGTCTCCCTAACAGGTCGTGTTCAATATCTAATGTTCTGAACTGCAAATACATTTCTTGTGGAATTATTTAACAAAACACAGCTACACAAACCAGTATGTCCTAAGCACATATGCCCAGATGATATTTCCAGGATTCCGATTACTAAAGGGACATTCTCACATTATGTGCGCTGTATGGAAAGAAGCATGTATTTCACAGTCACTGTACATTTTAAGGTCGCAGGATTGGTACAAAATGGTTATTTTAAAGTGTGTGTTTAGTTATTTGTTGACACAATTTCTGCTAACCAGACCAAACCCTGCACCTGGAATCAGAAGTAGCCAGAAATGTCAAGAAGTCCCCAGGATCGCTGGTATACCATATATTTTTATTATAAGGACATAGAGGTCAGAATTTCAATAGGTGAGCTGGCACAATGAGAACATAACTGGGCACAAATACAAGGAACAGGTTTCTATATCAATGGCACTTGCATTACAAATGCAGTAGTTGGTGCGAGTCATGCCAAAAGCAAGTTCTTATGCTATTGTGCATTAATTTTGACACACCTCCTCTGGCTATCCCCATCAATGCAGAGGATCTCAGCCAATCCAGTGCTTCCGTGTAAGGAAGCATTCGGGGGCTAGTACATATGGCCAGCAACCACACTGCTGCGCCAATCATCATCATAATCATCATCAGTTTAATGCATTTCCATTGAAAGTGTCTTTGAAGGACTGCAACCAGGAAGTCCCTCTAGTGACAGCCACTCGCAGTGGGGTTATACAGCTATGTGAACAATGCCTTTTTCTCAGAAAAGGCAGTGTTTACACTGCTCAGCCAGCAGGGACAGTCTCTTTGCCCCAGAACAACTACATCAAAATGTAGTGGATTTGATGCCTAAAGTGTCTCTTTAAGTTCAAAAGCTTTGATCTAAGCCATCTAATCTCAAGTAACATATCTTGTATTATGTTGTTTCATATAGGAGTTAGTACCAAACACAGTGGGAAAGATTTATGAAAGGGTTTGGTTCTAAAAGGTGGTGCAAAAACATAAACGGCGAGTCACCAATAGACTGTGCGGCTAATTCCACAGGTATCTCTGTATACAGTTCCGATATGTACGATTGAATCCATCAAGCTCTGACAAAGTGATAACAGGGAAAAGGGCACTGACTGGAGGATAGGGGTGCAAATATAGTCTGTATTTACACACTGGTCCACCAAGCAAATATACCCTAGTAGTTCCTCACAGTTCACACAAATTATACAAAATGCTGAACACGTGTGTTTATATGTCAAATACATTTTAGGACTGGCTAACAATTTAGGACTTTACATTTTGAGTCTATACACCAAACTTAACCATTAAAATTGCAAAGAAAAAATATTCCCTTTAAAACGACATAATCAAACAAAGTAAGGAAACCAAAATGGATCATCTCGCCGAGATACAATGGATGTAAGTAAACATGGAACCATTTCCTCCTACTGGCAAAACGATGTAGAATTGGGAGTGGTAGACAGCGATGATGTAGGAGGTAGCTAGGTGGAAATGTAAAAGTTTAGGCCAAAAAATTACTTCTCAGTTCTCACCAAAATCCGATATAGTGAATAACCTCATATGTCATTTGTAGATAGTACATCTAGGTGTATATCTGCAACTTAACACCACTCACCTGTAATGTTGCATGAGGAATAGCTACAGGTGCAAGTCGATGCCTTAGTGCTGGTGCAGACAGAGGCCTGGGCCTCTTCACTTCTGGTTCTTCTGCCCTCTGTAAACAGCTTTCAACTTCCCCAGGTCCCCTACATCCAGACAAGGCACAATCTTTCCCATCCTCACGGCAGCATTTGCCAACACCCCTATTGTGGTGAGACTTGTGTGAGGCCTCCTGATTGGCAGGGAGTAAAGGAACAGGTGAGGGACTAGTAGGTGGTGACCCAGCTGTAACTGTGGAGTCTGAAGCAGAACTTGACTGGTGCCTATGTTTAAACTTAATAGAGTCACTTCGTTTAGGTGGAGTGGGTGGAGTTGGTGGCCTCTCTGGCTTTGTATTTGGAGAAGAAAGAGCTAGAACAGGACCAGGAGGAAGAAAGGGCATTTTTGGAGGGGTTTGAGGTCTTTTGAAAGTATCTGGATCAAAGATAGACTTCCTCTGTCTAGGTCTCTTGAAGACCGTGAATTCACTTGTGGAATGTCCTGGACTGACCATGACTTTGGGCCATGTACCACTGCTTCGTTTGCCAGTGGATGCCTCAATCAGTGCATCCTCGATAGTGTCAGTGTACCCTAATGGGCTTCCGTGTTCTTCCAATAATTCATAGCCCATGAAGTCTTCACCACCCAGGGAGCCCAAACTGTGCTCAGAATGGCTATGGCAACTACGTTGAAGAGCCCTTTCAGATCCACTTCCATCTCCCATCTCTTTCTTATGATCAAGAATGTCTGGACGGAAGATGTCTGTTTGTGTTGAACTATTGTTCTTCAAGTTCCTTTTATTCTGAGCTTGGATATTGGCAGGGAGTACCCGACAAGACTCCTTAAGGTTCTCAAAGAGGTTTTGCCCGCTCCATGATGTATTGGGTGGAAACACCTATAAGAACAGAAACAAAGGTAGCTCAACACTGGACTATTCATACTACGGTAATAGACAGACAATTATTTCATATATAAAATTGCAATAATGAAAAAAAAAAACTTTTAATATAATCAATCATTCTTCAATACACGAGTTTCTCATCCAACTGTCAAAAGTAGCCAGTTTTTTCTATTTGATCCGGTTACATCATGGAAAAATAATAGGTGTAAATGGGGATTGTTAAAATACATACTCTTACACTAGCATCAAATGAAATTAGATAATTTGGAATTGTCTACAATGTTAAGACCCTCTGAAAAACTGATTTCTTCATTAATGACCAAAATTACCTTCAACAACGAGAGATTCAATGATTCCCGGCAGTTTCGTAGCAGAGCTTCACACTCTGTGAGAGACTTGTTATCCAGAGTTATACCATTAATCTACAGGAAAACAGAATCAAATCACTACACATGGTAACCCTTCTACAAAACTTACAATATAAAGAGAAAACGGAAGCAAGGATTCAGTACAATGTCTTTATTGGTGACTGTCACTATGACTAGTAACCTGCTTTATCACAATGACTAGTAACCCGTTCAGAATTAGAGCAACAGGTATCTCAATGGACACAGAAACCAGAAATGTAAATGTGGTTAAAAAAAAAATAAAATAAAAAATTATATATATATATATATATATATATAATTTTAGTAGATGCCCCAAATAAAGATATACATGAAATATTAACCCACTTTTTTCTTACTCTTTTTGAAGGTTTCGTGCATAATATATATATATAAATTAAAAGACTCAAATGCTGCATTGGCTAATCAGAACTTGCTTTTCCAAAGAAAAATAAATTAGCTCTCTCATTATACTGTGCATCAGTATCCGATGAGGAAATCTCTAGGTACTATATACATTAAAAGATGAATGTGAGGACTTAAAAAAAAAAAATGTCTTCCTCTACATAAAGTTGTATCCAGTATCTAGGAGGAAGAAAAAAAAATGGAAAATGTATATATAGCTTTGATTTACTTACAGCGACTACTCTGTCACCGGGTACAAGGGATCCTTCCTTAGCAGCAGGGCTCCCAGGAACCACTGCAGCCACCATAAATCCACTCTCTAAAGATATCCCACTGTCTGTGAAATAGAGAAAAAAAGATAAACCATAAATTGACCGTAACGGAATATGTAATGCAATACGCAAATAGAACGCAAATTTAAACTAACATTCTAATTAAAAATATGTACACAAAACATATAAATGTTATATGGATCTAACATTAAACACAGAAAAATTAAAACCAGCCTTAAAAAAAGTTAATTATGCGGTCTGCAAACTGAACAAACAGATTCAATTGAATTTCTTTTTAGAGATAAAGAAAAATAAATCAGATAATGGTGTTAATTAATTTTCCCTTACTTCTAGGATTCTACAAAAGAGCAAGAAAAAAAACCAATGAGGCACTAATTACACCTCTGTTTTTGACATCAGTACCCAAGCCAGTTGGACAGGTTTCTTTGAATCTAGCAGTCCAGGGGATTGCAGTACAAGTTTAGGTGTAGACTTGGAACGCACACTTTTCTCTTTATCATACAATTTTCATTGTCACATATTGGTGCCACATTAGTTATTTTTAGCTTTAGCAAACGTATCAAGCTAAAGGGAAGCCTGCCATAAAGAGGAAAATTAAAAAAAAATTTTTAGATTGGATCAGTGTAATATGATCTTTCTTTGAACACAATCTTATAAGACATGCCTGCAGAGAAATGCTCTTCAATAATATACTTGCTGCTAATTCATCAAAGAGATTCTAAAGAAGTTAAAGTGCTTTTTTTTTTTTCTCTGGTGATTTTTCAGCATCTCACAATAATTTGGCTATTTGAAGAATATTAAATAAATTTACAGGGATTTAGAGCAGTATAATATACTCCATATTAAATTTGTGATTAAGTAAAAAAAAAAAAAATTGTAAATTTAAAATAAAAATTCAACTCTTCACCAATTGTTTCAGATACCCATCTGTCTACAAATCTATATTTTACAGTGAAATACTCTGGTACACTCTGGTCTTATTAATTACTGTAGCGTTTACCAGATTCCAGACCTTTCTGGCTCCCCAGATTGATGTGCAGAGGGGTTATAACACGACTCCCCAAGGATTTCCTTCTCCGAATAACCATATTGATAACGTCTCCTCCACTCAGCACAGCTTTAATTAACTGCTTGCGATCCTTGTTAGTGAGGTCCACGTCATTAATCTTCAACAGACAGTCATTTACTCTGCAAAGTGGGACAGCCAAAACTCCCAGCAGTTAACATTAGAGCATAATAGGCATTAAGAGAGAAAGGATGTAAATATGCATGCATCAGGGCAGAACTGTATTAAGATGACATGAAATATCTATCTCTTCAATGAACCTGTTTTCTACAGGATGGACAACTTTAAAACACAAGAGGTCGAGTCATAGAAAGCTGCAGATACTGTTCTGAGCTAAAAACCATATCAAAACTGGCAGACTGGATAACTCAAATGGTTTTTATCTGGTGTCAAAATCCATGTTTCTACCTTAGTCGACCATCAGCGACGCTGCCTTTGTCCACCTTCGTCACAAATATACCACTGTCCCCAGGAAAGAAGGCCTCGTTTACACCATCAGCCACGTCAAAGCCCAAAGCTTTAAGATCCATATCCTCCTGTGACAGAGTAACAAGTGAAACATTGCAAACTATTCCCACCTCACCTCTTCGTCAGATTTTATTTCAATATTCGGAGAAAACTCAAAACATAAACTAATATTACACACTTATATAGCGCCAACATATTGCACTGCTCTTTACAGTTATAGAAAGGGGATATTTGACAAGTATTTGACATAAAAATCACCAGAGTCAACAACAGGTGAAAAAGACCCAGCTCAAACAAGCTTACACTCTATGTAGATATATCGAGATATATGTATTTTTATTATTACAGAAATACTCCTTGAGAAAATTACTGTGTGATGTCAAGACAAATACATAAAGAGTCATTCTGGACAAGTCCCAAGTTTACTGTACAGACTCTTTTACAGATTTCAGTAGAACAACTTGTAGAGCAGTTGTACTGCACTGTGGTTTCTGGGTAATGAAAGACACTTCAAACATGGAAACATGAGATTGTCTTTGAGAAATCGCTGGCACTTCTTGGACCTTCCAGTGGGGTATCTTTTTGTGTTTATGAATTTTTTCCAATGATTATTTGGAAGCCTGGAGTGTTCCTTATGTTGTATTAAATATGATGTCACTCACCCTTTCCCTCTCAAACTCTACAACTTCTGTCTCCCACTCGAGAGAGTCTGTGTCAATGGCAGAGTCATGTGAGCTGTGGGCCATGAGCTGCCGGAACCGTGCTTCTTTCTCAATCTGGTTGTCCATCTTCTCCCTATCAGGCGATTAAACAGAAGATAGAGACAGGCACATAAAACTTTTCAAACAGGCAAGAGCAGATCCTACACATTATTGGATTCTCTCATTAAATCAGTTCATTTGCAAGTTCTGTTGCCAAGCATATTTCAATTTACGCTGCACACCAAGACTAAAACACAGGATAGAATTAAAGTGCATCTGCCAAGTCTAATATTATTGTATGTATTCACAGGCAAAAGTATAGTAATATTTTGATATCCATGGTCTACATCTATTGGGGAGAAGAAAGTCTGTACATGCATCCACTCCAGGGTGCAGTATGTGGAGCAAGCAAACTTAAAGTTATATATACATCTGCTAGTAATGTTCCCAGCAAGATATATACACTGGAAAAAAACATGGATGAGAGGAATATTTTACAATGAATTTCATCAGTGGAAGAATTTAAAATTTGTCACTTGATATGTACATACAGGGCCATCTTTAATATCGATTGGACCCTGGGCAAGCATTTACTTGGCCCCCTGTACCCTGCCCTCCCTCCACAGTGGGGTATTTCTCATTACAGAATTCGCTGGGAAAAGGGAATTACAAGTCATGTTTACAGATGAAGTGTGGGGCCGCTCACCCTAATGCCTCAGAGGCATGACATATAATTCATCCCATTTGGAGCTACTATACAAAATTCGGCTCACATTCACACTAGCCAATCACCTCTATGTTGGTGTGAGTGTGGTCTGGTTGGCTCTTATATTTGGTGGAGCTGTCCAAAACTCCAGTCTCTGTGAAACACAGCCTTTACCCTTTCTTCTAAAGTAACAGATTCACATATCCCTATGCCTTGAGGAATCCCTTTTACAAGTTTTCCCAATGAGCTACCAGGATTAAAGAAACTCTTTAACTGTCACATTTTCCTAGCAACCAAGCAAGCCTTAATCCGTTTTTTGGAGGGACCTTAAAGTCCCCACTGCTGCCAACATCTTCAATAACTCATGTGAACGCATGGCACAGTCAGCAGCAGATACTATGAAATCATAAGATAAACATTGGGGAATGTGGGAGGAATTCTACAATAACCCAAAGAATATTCAGGCATCGTTGAATCCTAGCGGTGAAGGAACCCGTTCACAGTTGATTGTGTGGGGGATGGGAGAGGGCATTGGGACAAAATTGGTTTGCGTTTGTTCTTCAGTAGGTCTCTCTTTTGCTTACGCTTTTCTGAGTTTTTTTTCCTCCATTCTTCTCAGCACATCTTATGTTGTCTAATTCTCATTTTTTGTTTTTTTAACATGAATTTTATTAGATTTTAATGTAAAATAACATGTGGTAGCAAAGGAAGACAAATGCATAAAGCACATCAGTATAAAGTTTTTAATACGCATTAGTGATTCAATAATCACACAAAGCTATCTCTACAACTCACAACATGGTCTATGTTATACATTACTGAATTGGTTGGTCACGTGTTTTAATGGCCATTGGAAATTTATATCATCTTGCCTAACAAACTCCTGATGTTTTACATATATGTGTATCTCAATTTCTGTCATGTTAAAAATCTCAAGCTTTTATTGAAAATAAGAAAAATAAAAGTAAAGAAAATTTGTGAACACTTTGGAATTAACTGGATCTCTGCATTTATTACTCAGGCAATGTGTAATGATCATCATCCAAGTCGTAATTATAGACAAATGCAACCTGACTAAGCTAATAAAAGACATATAGATGTACTTTTTATACTTTTATTGAACTCAGAGTAATCATCTATAATCGTGACTTACACAAGCACCAGTCCACTTCATTTGTAATCAACACAGAAATCCTGGTAAATTCCAAAGGGTTCACAGCAAAGTTTTTCTAACTGCTTTTCTCAATGCTCCATATTATCAAGCTAGGATGTGCGTAACACCTACTCGTTTCAAAGGATGGTTTAAAATGTTTGTGAAGTCATCATAACTATTTACAACACATCAATGAAGTAGAACTTACTTTAGTTCCTTCAGCTCTCGCGTAGCATCATTTTTCTGCTTGCGCATATCGTCCAGGTTCCTCAAGGCCTCAGCCAGTTCACTCACGGCTCGATCCCGCTCTCGTCGTAAGTTGTCACATAGGGTCCTGCCGAGAATAAAAGTTAGAACAAAAAGCAGGGTGACATAGGACTACCCTACTGTCACATACAAACTCCCCATATCACGGAGGTGTGCATAGTATTACATTCTGGCCCCATCTATTCAGTGAAGTGATCAATGAGACATTCTGTGTCAATAGGAATGCTTGCTTATAAGGTCAGGCCAATGATGCCAAATTCAAGACTAGGACAGTGGAATCTTGAAGACGATTTTATTGAGTATTAAAGAGTGAGGCGTAAATATTATAATAGAAGGCCATGGTTTAAGCTGGAGCGTATAACACGCTAGTAGGAATAGCAAATATGCATTATAAAATGTATTATGTGATATGTATAATTCTTCCCAAAAAAACAAATAATGATGGGAACATGCCATTGGCTGAAAAAAAAAAAAAAATAAAATCACTAATTTAGTAGATATATCTCCAATGAGAGCATGTATTTATTTCTGTATTTCTTTCTTTGAGGGTATATCTAAAACATGCTGAAGCCTGTTGCCTTTGCAAGTCCTCCCCTTTTTTTCAAGGAACAAACTTTCAGTGTCTTTGAAAAATTACTTATGGAAATGTGTATATAAAAGCAACAAATTTAATTAACATTGTTCAGAAACTCATGCACTGCTTATATAAATTACAAAACCATGTGACAGTGAATATAAACAAACAAAGGATGGAGCTTGTCTAACTGTGACAGAAGTGGTCTTTCTCATGTAATTAAGTCTATATCTATTGGTCATTTCTCAAAGTCAATAGTTATACAAGTATACTAGGTTCCCGGTGAAAGGATTGGCCTAGTGGAAAAGTGGTAAAAAAAAACTTCTTCCTCAAGGAATTCAAGACCGTTACAAATCAACTTTGAACCAAGATTCATCCTCTACATGTGCTGCCACACTCCCTTTGTACAAACCAAAGTAAACCGATCAATATGCGGTCATGTTTTGGAGTGATTGCCAAGTCTCATGACATTTCTTTCAGTAAGCCAGAGACTACATCAAGGAAACACAGGATTGGGAAGTTTGTCCACTTACCTAATGCTTTCTCTTTCTGCTACAATCTTGTCCCTCTCCTGGAAAGCCCAGTCTCTCCGACATTTGGCAACCTCAGCCTCCTGGGTGGCCTCCTTGAGTTCATGACTCATTGCCTCATACTGCTTTCTTAAGATCTCTATCTCCTTGTTGGCTCTCTCCATGTCAAGAGTGGCAGAATCTTGAATCTAAGAGGTTAGGGTTAAAAAAAGTATATATCAGTGTTGAGAAGTATTTACCTAAAAATGTCTGTTGTGTTTTTCCCTTCTTCTTAAGAAACAGTTCTAACTAGAATTTTTATCCTCTGAAAACTACTAACTCACAAAATGCCAAATGTGTACTCCCTCTAAGTTATATTTAAAAAAATACCTGTCTGGCTTGGTAGTACTCTCTCAGAAGATGGTCCCTCTGTATAATGGCTTCTGTCCTCTCTTTCCTTGCCACATCGCGCTCTTCCTTCACAGTCTCTATGTCTTTACACGCCTGGTCCAATTCCTTTTGGGCCTCTGCCTTGTCCTTCACTTCATGGCAATACTTCTCTAATAGCTCGTTCCTCTCAAAGATCGCTCTGTCACGCTCTACTAGGGCAGAGTTAAGCTCCTGGAGGTACAACAGAAAGGTGGCAGATATTATCTGTTAACATCTTTCCATTCAGCCTCACCCTTTTAATCCACAAATGTGTACATATATTAAACATCCACACATGGTGAGTTCTCTTCAACCAAATGTGAACTGCATAACAATATATACAGTCACAAAGTATACATAAAACACACACAATGAAATATCTTCATTTCATTGTAACATGCATTTCACATTGCCTTTCCAATGCATCTGGGAACAAACTAACTTCCATTGCTTATACCATCTTAGATTTAACAACCAAACCCTAGGGCGGTCCTATTGACTTCTTTCCTATATCGTATATACTCTACTCTTGTTGATTCAAGCATATCTTGGCTTTCATTCTACTCCTATTGTCATTAGATAATTCTGGGTCTGGATTTAAGAATAACCATCACTTTGCGTAGCAATAGTATAACATTTCTAAAATCCCAATTCCTAAATAAAATTTACTTTTTTTTTTTTTACACTATCTTTGACAACCAATCTATTACTTCACATCATCTGAAAACGGCTACATCGCTAAATGTACAAGTTAGGAGAATGCAATAAAAACACATCTTTTATACATTTACACCGGGTCTCTGACCTACAGTTTCATTTTATTCTTAATTCAAACCATTCTATATTTGTTGCCTATTCTTTTACGAATAGATGAATCAATCCACTCAAGGATAAAGAAACCAAGATCGAGGTCCCATTTCTTTCAGAGATCACTACGTACTTTCTCCGGATACCCTTTTTAATGCCCACCACTAATTACCTGTCTAAGAGCTTCCATCTCCTCACTCGCCACTCTGTTCTCACTAGAAGTATTTTTTAATCTCCCTTGCGCCAGCTCCAGTTCTGTTTGCATCTTGTCCACTTCCTTGATAACCTGGTCTCGTTCGCTCATTATTAGACGGTACTCATTGAACACAGAGTCTCTTTCTTCCTTGTACTTCTCAGCTTCCTTGGCAGCTTTCAGCTGCATGGTCTTAAATCGTGTAGCTTCGGCCTGCAACCTTTCCATCTCCCTTTGCAACTCTTTGTTCTGCATGGTGGCCTTGTTCAGTTCCTGCTGAATGGAATCATACCTATGGGGAGGCATACCATGGTCATTTACGGTTCAAAATAAAAATAAGATTATTTAAAGTTCTTAATCTTTTCATTTAAAGGTCAATATTTTTACCTGAATAGACTGTCAGGGTTATTCACTAAACTGAGAATTCAAAGTGAAATTCAAATTTAAAGGTCAAATTAGCCAAACTGGGAAACACTATCTAAGTCCCCTATGCTTTCCAATCAGCTACTCTGGTATTACATTTGAAATTCACTTTCAATTCTCACTGCGTCCTACTGTAATTACCACTAGAGCAGGGGAAGGCAACCTTCATCTTACAGCTATAATGCTACCAAAGTATCATGGGAGATATAGTACAAATGTCCACTTTTCCAATTACCAGTTATATTCAGCAGTGTTTACTGTGCATTCTGCTTATAGGTGGACCCTCCTCACCTATTCAAACTAGCCACCTCGCACATGGCATTTACCTTCTCATAGAAGAAGAGAATTGATGCTGAAGGTGCATGGCGTTCTCTCTCTGTTTCAGTAGCCCCTCTAGTTGTTTTTGCAGGCTCCGCTTTTCTTCCTCGCTCTGCTCCAGCCTGCCTAAGTCCAAGTTATGACTAGATACTTTCTCATTGTACTGTCTACGTAGAGAATCGTAATCTTTCTTCACACCTTCCAGCTTGTCCAAAGCTGTATCATACAACTTGTTGATGACTTCAGAGGAACCGTTCTGATTCACAACCTGTTAGGGACAATAAATATATTATATAAAAAAAGTCCCATAACTAACTAAACTCCATTGTACATTTATTGATCAACATTTCATTTGTGAGCTTTACAATTTTGAGTATTTCTCCCAGTCGTCCAACATTTATTTTATTATGCATTAGCCCCATATCTTGCTACATATATCCTTAAGGCATATATTAAAATGTACCTATAAGCTTTCTTTACAACAAGAAAAAAACAAAAAATGGACATCCTGAATTTATGGATTATTACAAACCTATTTTGCAAGAAGGAAACTTGTTAACCTAGTTACTAGTAATCCACTCAAGTAAGAGAGAGAGACAGAGACTGCCCTTGTTTATGTTCTCCCTCTTACTAATACCTTTGTGGATGGCATGCCCATTTACGTCAAAAAGCCATTAAAAACATTAGCCATCATTGCTACTGTGATGCCATATTTTTATGTCAGATGGAAAAAACCTGCACATTGCTCATTAGAACTTTCATATGGTTACACCTGTACATTGTGAAGATTTATTTTCTTGTTTCATGACTATTTGCCAAACTGAATGTTTCCATGTGTTATGTTGTTATTAAGAAGTGTAACCTGGTTCAATTTGTCTTAGCAGGGCTCTCATTGGTGAATGATTAGAACAACTTTTAGGACTTGAGGAAACTGTAAAAATAAATAAATAATAATAAAAATGTATAATTACCAGTTGCTGTTGCCGGCGTAGTTCCGAGATTTCCTTTTGATCAGCTTCATGCATTCTCTTGAGGTCTTGGCAGGACTGTTGCAAATGTGTGAACTCTCGTTGAAGCTGGGAGTGTTTCCTGCGGAGACCCTCGCTATCCTCCTGCAGTTGAGTCTGATCACCAAGGACACGGCTGTGCAGGGTGCTGGAGAAGATATAAAAGCACCAACACTATAAAGGTTTTGTCCACTTCAATTGAATAATACAATTCCAATAATGAAGCGTAGTGGAAGTAACATCATGATTTGGAGGTGGTTTTCAGTGGCAGGGGCTGGACGACTGGTAAGGGTTGATGGAACTTATCTGAGCTGAACGCATTGAAATACATTGAGATTCTTAATGAAAACCTGTTCCAAAGCACTCAGGACCTCAGACTGTGCCAAAGGTTTACCCTCCAACAGTACAATGACACTAAGCACACAGCCAAGACATTGTAAGAGTGTCTTAGAGACAACTATGTGAATGTCCATGGTCGGCCCAGAAAGCGCCTGGAATTGTACCCAATCACAGATCTCTGAAGAGACACAAAAATGGCTGTCCACTGACAGTCCCCATTGAATCTGGCAAAGCTTGAGTTGCAGAGATGAATAGCAGAAACGACCTAAATCCAAAAAGACTTGAGAATGTAATCACTGCGAAAGATGCTTCAAATAATAGTGAGTAAAGGGTCTGAATACTTAGGTCAATATGAAATTTTAGTTTTTTTAAAGTTTTTTTAAACAAATTATATATTATAAATGTATTAATATATTTTCAATGGTGTAAAAAAAATATGGGTTTTTTTTGTATTGTCATTATTGGGTATTGAGTAGAAAAAACTAAATTGCAGCACAAGGCTTTAACAATTTAAAAAAAAAAAAAAAATTGAAACTACAATGTGGACAGAATACTTTATGTAGCAATCAAAAACGTGTTGTGGGTGACAAAGAAAAAACATCATTAATACAACCAGTAAAACTGCATTAAGTTAATTCATTTCTCAAGAAGTTTTTCACCTTGTCCATTAAAGGGACACTCTAGGCACAAAAAAAAAAAAAAAAAACACTTAATCTCATTAAAGTGGTTAATGTGCCCAGAGTCTGCAGCACTCTAAAAAAGATTTTAGAGAAGTTTAGTACTAAACTGCCTGAAGCCCGGCTCCCATTGGAGGTTTGGCTACAGTAGAGGCTACACTCTGCCTTAACCACACCATCAATGGGGAGATGTCAGCTCACTCTTTTAGTGAATCATTGGCACCCATCGCTGCTCGGACTAAAGTAGAAACATTAGACCAAGAGGCAACGAGGGGCCAAGGATGAGCGTTTTGGGGACACTCATAGTCTTAAACCATTAAAGAATGATTCAACACTGAACTAAGGGGCATACCAGGGGGCTGCAGACACTATAGCTTTAGTGAGATGAAGTGGTTATAGTGCTTAGAGTCTGCCTCCAGAGAACAGACAATCTCGACTTACTGATAGAAGTCTGCTTCCTTTGCAGCCTCTTCACACTTCTTTAGGGCCTTGGAGTGCTGACTCTGCAATGCCTCCAGCTCAGACATCGCTTTCATACATTGGATTTTCAGCCGTTCATAATCTGGAGTGAGTTTGGGACTCGGTCTTTTGACAAAAGGAGAGAGAAGAGGAAGTCTTGATGTACTTAAAAAGAGCAGTGTTAATTATTAAAAAGAAAGAGACTGGGATAACTTGAGAACACAATCCCCAGACAATAACATCAACCCTGACCTGAATATAAACAGTGCACAATGGATGACTAACATTTCAGGTTCAGTAATATCGTTATAGATTCTTAAAGAATTAGGGCTTTAAGTCTTGAAATTTTAATTGTGAGTGTTCTCAAAATAGATTGCCATTTACAGCTTACACGTTTCACATTTGAATTCACAATCGTACATTTAAAATTACTGAACACACAGTAAATAAAATGTTGCCAGTTGCAAAGAATTTGTACTTTTAAGGATTTGCACTTAAAAAAAAAAAAATAGTAAAACAAGTCTGTTAGCTGGGGAGTGTTTGTCATGAGAATATGGATGTCACCTGTGTAGATTTAACATTAAAGGACCTCTATAGGCACCCAGACCACTTCAGCTTAATGAAGTGGTCTGGGTGCCAGGTCCAGCTAGGTTTAACCCTTTTTGCAGTAAACATAGCAGTTTCAGAGAATTGGGCCTGAAGTGTACAATAGTCATGGTTGCCGCCCAGGAGTAGTGGGAGTTTTAATGCAGAGCTTATTTTTGTATGTTTTCATTTGCTTTTGTATTACACAGCCATGTTACAGTGCTGGCAACCAGCCCACGTGTTCCTTATTAAGGCTTATTAAGTGTGTAGGGGTTTAGAAAAATGCCCCTCTTTGTCTCGTTGGAGACTTTTACCTGTTAGCAGAAGACAGCAAGGTGACTTGTTAGTTTAGGACTCACCTAAGAGCCTTGACGTGGCCAGTGATCTTGCTCTCAAATAGCCACTGGAGTGATACTATAAATTATTTAATTGTGCATAGGGATTTGGGATTGTGTGCAATTAAAATAAAAGAATATATGTATTGTAATTATAGCCTTTGTATGTATTATTTTGTACTTCCATACATTCATGGAACGTTCTACATTTTCTTTCGTCCAACTATAGCATTTGAAAAGGTGCTAAAGCAGACTGACCATTCCCTTTTTCAGTATATAATCAATAAAGAGAAAGCCCAGACAATCAGCAGAACTGCAGCAGATTGAGCTTACATGCAGCAAATCCAGAATGCACCACTAGGTGGCTCAATTTTTATCAAAGACAACAATATAGCCATTTACAATATAGCCCATTACAGAACAGTCAGCCAGCTACTTACAACCAAACATACATAATGATAACAGAAGGGACACCATGTGTTTGTGTCACACTTCAAGTGACACGTCTTTTTAATATGTCCTACAGTTTTAAGGAGTTTAGTAAAAAGACGCGAAAGTAGTAGGCCAATATTGAACACATGTAACATGATAATAAATGTGTAATAATCGACAATTGAAAGGTATACTACAATTAAGCAGATTTAACAAATATCGAATTTTACAAAAGCAAATTAATATGAGACTTTCATATGTTTCACTCAGAAAATTCCTGGTGTGGGAGGGTTCCTACATATTGCGTCCCTTTAAAACACACACACACACACACACAAAAAACAATATAAATATAGAAAGTTTGTCCCTTTTCAGATAAAAACCATAATGCTTTTCAGGCAGCTGCTTTAGGAGACTGGAGGGTTCCTTCAGCTGAATCAGAAGTGGATAGATATAATGTTACCTTAACCCAAACTTTGTGATATTCATTTTTCAGTCTTAAAAAAAATGAAAGGTTGTGACAATGCCGAAAACAAAAACCTGTAACCTACTACAGTTGGCACATTAGCAAAATTCGGCTAGCTCCTTACAGAAACCCATACAAACCTAGATAAAACCAGACATGCTTTGTATAAAACATGTCATCTTGTGTGCAACAGTAACACTTAAAGGAACACTCCAGACACAAAACACTTCAGTTTGCTGAAGTGCTTTATGTGTTTGGAGTCCGTCATTTGTTACAATTCATAAAAATTGCAGATTCTAATAAACACCAGTCCTATTAGAATTGGGGGCAGAAACACCTCCCAGACTGTTCACAGAGCCAACAGAAGCAGAAGGTGCACTGGGCTAGCTAGTGTGCGCCTGTCTTCCCACTTTTTCAATTAACTATACTTCAGCACATTGAGTAGCATTGGAAAGCCACAATTGCAGCTCAATGAGAAGCCTCCGATTGGCGTATTCCCAGTCAGACTTAAATTGAGTGTTTTTGCAAGCTGTTTTCACATATACCCTCAAAGTAAAACATGCAGGGGGAAAAAAAAAAAAATACATGCATGTTTTCATTTGGGATATATCTTCTAAATTGTCAATAAATTCTAATGTTCAACTGAGTGCTGCTTTAAGGTGTATCAACCTATGTTTACTAGGTAGAAATTAGACACATATCACAATTATTTTGTGTGTGTGTGTTTTACACAGAAAAGTATATATGCACACTTTTTTAATATGGAAACTGGTTTTGACATATAAACTTGCTACCATCATTAGGCACCTGAAGTCCTACAAAATTACCAGGACTTGGATAAACCATGATCACAAAATGTAGCTCCAGAGTTTGAGATCTCTCTTCTTACCTGCAGTCATCAAATGTTGATCCCGGGGAGGACAGCGCGAGCCTCTTGCGGAGCTCATCCCTTTCTCTTGTCACCTGGCGCAACTGCGACAATATAGTGTCCAACTTTTCACTCATGTGACGGCTATCAGCAGCAGAAGGTGGAGGAGAAGAGGGCTTGTTGGTCGTACCTGGAAATGAAAGAGGCAGCAGAACCGAGCAGTTATACAAGAAGAGTTTTCACATGCATTAATAATAATAGTAATTTACTAGCTAGTTGAAAATCTGTCTACTTGTATGTATCCCAAACCTAACTGTTGAGCCTACAGTCAAAAAAGTCACCAGGAGATAACAGAATGGTGATAAAGAATAACAAACACTCCATGTTGATGAAAGTGTCCAGGTCCTGTGCACAATGAAAGAAAGACTTTCTATATTCCAAGCCCGTCGACGGTGTGTGTCAGAACACTCTGATTGATTGGCTAAGCCAACAAATTAGAATGCTCCAACTTAAATTGCACAGTGTGGGAAAGCTTTATAAGGTCAGTCTGCATAGAGCACTTGCAGATTGTTTTTCTGCCTGGATTTTATTTTCTTGACGTGTTTTTTTTTTTTGCGCGATTGGGTCCTTTCTTTATTTTAATAGTCGCTTCCGACCTTATAGAGTTTTTGTTTGGAAATTTTGGGGGTGAAGAAAAGCAGATGGAACACGAAATAACATCTAATGGCAAGTACAATTTTTTTAAAATTTTACAAGTATTTTGTTTCTTGCCCCCACTTACTATTATTCGGTGAGGGTGGTAGGTAGAGAATTTTTTATGTGGAGGGAAGAAGCATACACGTAGGATTCCCTCTTTTCTGTGGTCCCTCTTTCCGATATTCTTTGACAGTGTTAAGCAGACTGAAGGAGTTTTGCCCAACACAAACTGCACCCAAAATCCTGCTTATTGACATTGTTATGTCAAACTAATTTAACTTTGTCCTAATGAATATTTAAAAAAAAAAATTTTACTATACACATTTGTTGGAATTCTCTTTTTCTGACTTTTCATGAATCCTTTAATTTAGGAGCTCTGGTATTGGTATGCTTTATTTCTCTATATTCAAAAATGTATCTAAACCTATTCAGCAACAGCAACCCAAAATTGTTTTTTCTTCCACCTGTACATCATTTAGCAGACTTTTACAATTTGTGATCCCCAAAAAAAAAACTCTTCTGCTAAAGATTATTGTTCTGATGAGGCTTGACAAAGACCCCTTGGGGTCAAAACGTTGCTGTACACTTTCCCAGTAAATCTGCTTATTCCTTGAAACTTGTGTTTCTATGTTCTGTCTTATCTGTCATTTAAGGTCTGGCCTACCTCGAGTCAGGGAGTGCGGTGTCCCTCTGTTTCATTTACTAGAGATTATTGTTCTAGCTACAAAATTTGTACATTTATGCTTTAAGAATTTCAATTGATGGGAAAAAAATAATTTTATACTCACGTATACATACATATGCTGAAACAGACATATGCTTAAGTAAGCAAATATATAGATATATTTACACATATATCTGTTAGTCCACCCATTGTACAGCATGCAACGGTTCCCAGTACTCCAGCATCTCCCAAATCCCAAGCGCCGTAGTGATTATAAGTGTGAATATAGCTTCCAATCCCCCAAACATGAGCCTAGACTTTATGAAAGGTTAAGATGATCGGTTTAATCCAGGCTCAATGGCTTGCTTTTATACATTCCAGAGTCACAGCAAACACGCCCAGGACACTTCCACACAAAACAGGGTAATTCGTCCCCTGTGCCTGAGAGATAATTGAGTCAGGAACTGTACAAACTCAATTATCTCCAGGCACAGAAAACACACAATGTATAAAACACTCCAAAATACACATAAAATACACGAAAACCCCGCAAAAGTTACATCCCCTGATAGCCCCAATCTGGGTGACCAACATATCCAAAAATCACCCAGATCGGTTCAGGGGTTAGAGATTTCCATGCAAGCCAATTATTTGACCAACCGTGCACATGGTCCTATGCCCAAAACAGTTCCATGAAATCAGTGCTAGCGGTCGGTCAGCTTTGGTAACATAAAAACAAAGTTTAAACAGATTCCCGAACTGGGGAAGAGAATGGTTCCTGGGAAGGCAAAATAGGTGTTTTGTCACATAGCTCCCCCCCAGTTCCATGGTACGGTATACCCGCCTAGACCCCAACTGGTTGGCTTGGGGATGTCCGGTCAAGTTGGTTATTTTTAGCTCCGTAAAGTGCCGAACAAGAGACGCCCAGGGCAAGCCACTTATGGCGGTTGGGGAGATTTAACTTCCGAACGGGGTCTTTGTATATGGCCCATAGTCAGTGAGCAGGAGGCTAGCATCCACACTCCTCCAAGAGCCCATGGCTCCAGGCAGAGGAGCGTTCGTCACACAGTGATACGGAATTTGCTGTTGCTATATAAATAATAAAATAATATATACATGTGGGCTATTGTTATGCCCCTGGATTCAGAAGTATACAGTACATTTTGTCATATCTAGATTTACTAAAAATATACCTATGATACAGAGTTCAGATTAACATACTGACTGACGAGTTTGACAGATTACTGGTTACTACACTTGGGCATTAAACACGTATTCATCTGAATTTTGTCCGTTTTTCCGAAAGACGACTGGACGAATACAAATTACAACGAATGAAATGAACTAATTTCTTTGGAAGAAATTTCGCCTGTACAATTTGTTTGTTTGTTACAATTGCAAGGAGGGAGCTACTGGCTTAGGGATACCTCCTTGCAATATTTAAAGATATAATTCCTTAAATCCCCTTTGCTCTCCCTCACCCTAGAACTATGGTAGTCAATATGACCCCCATAGGAGAATAATATATTCTCCCGCCTAGTCACTAATCAAATAAAAGATGGCCATGGGTGGGGGCTTTTAGATAAAATTAACAGGGGGATAAAGTGTCCCACCAGCCACTACCACTGGTGGGGGCCTTAAATAACAGGGGAGGCTCCTATTGCCCCCCGCCCCCCGACCCTCACCCATTGGTGGCAGATGGGGGCCCTAAATAATAAGGGGATAGATATTGCCCTTTCCAGTGACTAAGAGTCCCCAAGCCTCTAGTCAACCCCTCATTCAAAAACAAAATTTTTATTTATTTTTTTATTTTTTTTTAAAAGCACCCTACCTACTCCCCTCATGCTAGTAGTAGGAAGGAGTGCAATAAACATTATAAAGTGTGTGTCAGAACGCTCTGATTGGCTAAGCCAACAAATTAGAATGCTCCGACTTAAATTGCAAAGTGTGGGAAAGCTTTATAAGGTCAGTCTGCATAGAGCACTCGCAGATTGTTTTTCTGCCCGGATTTTATTTTCTTACCGTGGTTTTTTTGTTTGTTTTTTTGCAATTGGGTCCTTTCTTTATTTTAATAGTCGCTTGCAACCTTATAGAGTTTTTGTTTGGAAATTTTGGGGGTGAAGAAAAGCAGATGGAACAAAAAATAACATCTAATGGCAAGTACAATTATTTTTTCATTTTACAAGTATTTTGTTTATTGCCCCCACTTACTATTATTCGGTGAAGGTGGTAGGTAGAGAACTTTTTATGTGGGGGGAGACTAAAGGCTTCGAAAAATTTTATGGGGTGGCAAAAGGTCCACCCCCTTATTATTTAGAGTCCCCACCAGCTGCCAATGGGTAGAGGCTGGGGGGGACACAATAGGTGAATACCCCTTGTTATTTAGTGCCCCCGCTCTCTGCCAATGTGTGGAGACTGTGGGGACTACGTCCCCCTTTATTGGACTGGACAGTCATTTATTATAACAGCGTGCAGCCACTGTGGCAATCCCACAATGTTACGAATTTAGGAAATTACCTAATGCAAGATGCAGCCGCAGCACGGATCGGAATACCGAAATGAAAACAAGGTCCAAATTTTGTCCAAAACTGAATGAGCAAATGGATAAAAGTTAAACAGAATTTCTTTTCATGGAAATGTGTTCGGAGGAAACAAAATGTTGGCACCACCCAAGTCTACTGGATACTGCAGCTGTGATTTCTGTGGTGACTGTATGACCTTTGGCTTCATATTTTTATTTTTGTTACAGTAAGTTGTTCGTTCACTACAAGGCTTAGGTTTTGGTAGATTTTCAATTGCTGTGACATTGTTCACACTTTGAACCTTCATACCTTATCCACCACCATGTTTTTATCATACTATGTACAGAGATTTTGTTGACATATCTACTGTAACACAAAAAGGAATAAGCACTATTCAGGTCATATCATTAAAAGGGAAAACCAAAATACTATATTGTGATATATTGCATTTTAAAAAACAGGTTTAAGCACATTATCGGTGAAGACTTTAAACCTAACCCCATCCTACATGACAGTCACTGCCTAAACAGAATAATTACTTAAAGCACATCAGGTCTACTCACCTACACTGCTGAGTGAGCCACTGCTCTCAGAGTCCGACGGCATGGTGGTAAGAACACTGTAGGTGGAGCCTGTCAGGGGAAAGAGAAGAAAAGCCATTAAAGAACAAGAACAGTTATCAGAGAAATAGCAGAAGGTAGCACTCAATGACTCCATGAGTCTAGGAGTTCAAGTAAGATTTGAGAAGATTTGGAAGGTTAATCACCCATTTGTGTCAATTGTTGGGAATTCAAAGTAAATTTAAAGTTTTAGGCCAAAATAATTGAATTTGAATAAAAAGAATCTCCAAGTCAGCTATTTTTATAGTTCAGCAATTTAAGAAGTTTGAATTTCACTTAGAATTCCCCAAAACTCACAATTTAGTTAATAAATCTTCAGGTTTTCAAGTGAACATGATGTACAAGATATAAACTTGGGAAATGGTGACAATGAATCCGAATAAACCAGGGGACAGCTGGCTTCTTTTTATCTGTAGGTCATTAATAAAAAATAAAAAAAAAATAAAATAAAAAAAGATTGCCTTATTTGAAACCAAACTAATATTATTTTGCCCCACCAACCTTTATCAATTTTATATTAAATGTGTTGCGCTAATACTCAAGGACAATAAAAAAAAAATTAAAAAAATCTATATATATATATATATTTATTTAATAATGTTGTTGTTCGGGCGAAATTTCCCAATGCAATAAAAGTTAACTTGTTTTTGTTTAGTTATTTAAAAAAAATTATAAATATGGAATACCTGCATAGGATCAGTTTAAATAATTTTCCAAAATCATTTTCTAGATATACTCAAACAGAAAACTTAATTGTACACACTACACAGCGATAACGAGCAACTGTCACCTCAAAACAATTATTATTATTTTTTTTTAAAGAATCCCTTTCCCCTCCCAACCTCACCCCCCCAATCTATTTATTTTTTTTTTAAAGTAATTCCTACCTTTAATTATTATGTCACATACAAAAACGTAGGGATTAATTTTTTCCAAACACATTCTTTCCAAAAAGCGATGAAAAGATTATTATATTAAAAATAGTTTTGAGGTGACAGTTATCATTTAAGTCACAAACAGCCGTGAACATTTTAAAGGGACTCTCCAGTGCCAGGAAAACATATCCTGCAGTGCCCCTCTCCCTCCCACCCCCCATCCCATGTTGCTGAATGGGTTAAAACCCCTTCAGTGACTTACCTGAATCCAGTGCCGATGTCCCTCGGCGCTGCGTCAGGCTCCGCCCATGCTCCTCCGCCGACAGGGGAGATCTAATGCGCATGCGCTGCAATAGCCGCGAGTGCATTAGACCTCCCCATAGTAAAGCATTATTGAATGCATAGCGTGAAGATGTCCAGTGTCGTTTAAAACACTTTGTGTTTTAAGAACACGGAAGTTTATAAAAACTGCAATAAATTCACTTGCAGGGTTAAGGGTGATAGGAGTTGGCACCCAGACCACTCCAATTAGCAGACATGGTTTGGCAGTGGATCCCTTCTCTACAAATAGGGTTATCCTTTCTACTCAAATTGCACTCAAATAGTGAGCTTCCTGCATTTAAACGATATACTTGCACAGTGCAGAATTACTCATACACTATCTACTTCAGACTGCCTTTTTGTACAAAATCTGGAGATTTAAAATGAACCATCAGTCCAGGTCAAATGTAGTTGATAAACAGTCAGGTTTTGAAATATCAATAAGCCTGATAGTTCAGTCGGTCGTTAGGTGGAATACAGACTTTACTGAGTTTTTGCAGAGGTGAAAGACTTGTTACAGAACTCATTTTATGACCATGGATATACAGATTATTACATTCTAGTTTTAACCCTGTATATGACAGAGTAAAGAGATACATTATCGCACAGGTCACAGGCAACAATTATGGTTATTCAAAACGCAACCACTTCTAGTGTGCGCTCCTGAATAGACGTCATGTTCTTTAGTCACTTTTATTATGTCTATAATGCTCATTAATGTTTGCACGCCCAGAGGTGAAAGGGTTACAGACAGCAGTACAATGACAGCGCACTTTGGACACAACAAAACAAAAGCATTGTTGTTAATCTGTGGTGAAACCTGTCAGCCCAGGTGTGCTGTATTGTAGTGTGTGACGTCAGAGGTGTAATGTTACAGGGCCTTTGCTAATATAGTCCGGGAAGGCTAGGTTTACGTGAGCAGAGATTTAATAGGGAGGGAGGCAACTAGAGTGAAAGGCAAAGGTAGGATAGAAACAGAGGAGCCCAGATGAAAAAAGAAAAAAAAATACAGGAAAAGAAACAGATTTGCCAGTGAAATTAGAAGAGATGAGAAATGGTATTATGGCAGCAGGGGTAAATCTAATATATAGAGACAAGTCATGGAGGGTAAAGGGGAACAATGTATACAGGGGGAGCATTAGAAACACATTTAAGAAATATAGTTGGTGACACCGGTGTTAAATGGAGACAGATAGAATGGATTAAAGAAAAAGAAGAAATTAAAAGCCGGGATTGTGGGTTTTGTAAAAAGATATAAAATGAAGGATGAGTGTAAGAAGAAAAGGTGTAAAACATTTATGAAATAGCTTAAAGGATTCAGATTACAAGGGCCATAGAACTGGGGTTCAGAAAGGCAAGGCAGAGGTACAGACAATAGAATGAATAGGGTTAGGGTGGAGAAAAATAGGGGGCCCAGTTAAGGACAGAGGAAAATTAAAGTTAGTAAGTGAAGTGAATGAGGGCAAAAGTGTCAGACAGAAAACATGGGTTTTGTGGAAGTAAAAGTTAAGTCATCTGGGGCGATAAGTAAATAATATTTTAAATGAAAGTAAACAGGAGATAGATATTGGTTGAAAGAGAGCACAGAACAGGATACCAGACACGTCAGTGGAGTGTTTCTAGCAGGAAACATCCAGACTAGAAAGAACTTAAAGTGACACTATAGTCATTAGAACCACCAAAATATAGTCAGGCCCTGCAGGCTTTTTAATGTAAACACTGCCTTATCAGGGAAACGTCAGGGTTTACATTACTGTCTAGGGACACCTCCAGTGTCCATGGAGATGCATTAAGTCAATGCATCTCTATGAGGAGATGCTGATTGGCGCAGAGCTGCATTTTGCTGCGCATGCACACTAGCCTCCCACTGCTTTCCTATGGGAAAGCATTTGATTGGCTGAGATTATCAAGTCTGATGATCTCAGCCAAGAGGGCGGGACGGAGCCAGCCCCGACCGGACCCGGGTGGCGCTGGGGTGAGTAAATCACCTTTTAAACTTGAGGTTATTTAGTTTATTTTATTTTACTGTCTAGGGACACCTCCAGTGTCCATGGAGATGCATTAAGTCAATGCATCTCTATGAGGAGATGCTGATTGGCGCAGAGCTGCGTTTTGCTGCGCATGCACACTAGCCTCCCACTGCTTTCCTATGGGAAAGCATTTGATTGGCTGAGATTATCAAGTCTGATGATCTCAGCCAAGAGGGCGGGACGGAGCCAGCCCCGACCGGACCCGGGTGGCGCTGGGGTGAGTAAATCACCTTTTAAACTTGAGGTTATTTAGACCTAGTGTCAGAAATACACATTAGTATAGTGTTCCTTTAAGTGTTAATAAATATGTGAAGCTGGGTCCAACCAATGGGGGTCTGCAGTTAAACTTTTCCTGCAGAAAAGGACCTGAAGTTTGCATCACATTATTCCTGAAACCCCACTCAATATTCTGCTTTCAAAAATCAGGGATTAGCACAGACCCACTGACCTGTGAGTGAAACCCCCTAGTGTAATGTCTGCATAAATAATGCACTTCCACTACCTCCCCTGTACTGTAATGTTACCTGCAAAAGGGCAAGTGCACCGATTAATGCTGAATATGTAAACTATAATTCACATAGAATGAGCTGATCAAAAATATACTTTACATAGGTTACAACACGGAATGAGCTACTGCTTGCATAATGCAAGCAAGATTGCACGTTCAGCTATTTATAGAAGAAACGTAGAGATGTGAACCGAATCAATATACCCAAATTGTACTCTTGTTAGCAAAATATAACCCACATTGTAATTCATTGTTAGCAAATATATTTTCACATGTAATTCATTTAATAAACCATGCCACTTTCAGGTATGGTTCCAGTTGTATGATGCATAGAAGCTTGGTGTGCACACCATGTAAACTCATCCATGATACACATGTATTCTGAGAAATACTGAAAGCATACTGGGTTAGGCACACAGCCATATTGACGCATGCTCTAAATATGCTAATGTGTTAGCTTTTCTATTTTTACATATTATGTAACATCATTGACACTGATCTAGGTAATTTACAATAATTTCTTAAAGGGAAATGTAGTAGGTTTACTTGTGCCTTACATATAACATATGTATCTGTGAACTGTGAAAAATAAAATTAAAAAGGGACACTATAGTCACCCAGACCACTTCAGCTCAATGAAGTGGTCTGGGTGTCAGGTCCCTCTAGGTTAACCCTGCCTGATTTAAACATAGCAGTGCCGCGCATTCGGCGCCGGTGACGTCAAACAAGGATGGTGACGTCGGCGGGGGAGGAGAGGTAAGGGAGCCCAGCGGGGAAAAGGGTGAGTCAGCGGCGTGGGAGGGGGATACTGAGGGTGGGGGCACCTTCAGGGTACTATAGTGTCAGGAAAACCAAGCGATTTTCCTGACAGTATAGTGTCCCTTTAAATATTAAATTAAGCATCTTTATCTTACAACTGGCGGCCTCCACACAAGATCCATGTCAATCATTGTTATCAGCCATGTCCTTTAACATGGTAGCCAGCATTAAAGGAACACTATAGTCACCAGAACAACTACAGCTTATTGAATTTGTTCTGGTGAGTAGAATCATTACCTTCAGGCTTTTTGATGTAAACACTGTCTTTTCAGAGAAAATGCATTGTTTACATTACAGCCTAGGAATACCTCCACTGGCCACTCCTCAGATGGCTGTTATTGTGATTGGATCATGCTACCACTTCTGCTGATGTCAGCAGGCAGTGGGCTGGTCAAAAGGAAACAGGGACAAAGCCAGCAGCTTCAGGCTTGAATACAAGTAAGATTTACTATATTTAGGGACACATGAGGGGACCAGGCTAGATGGTAGGTTTAACCCTATATGGTCAGGAATACAAGTTTGTGTTCCTGACCCTATAGTGCTCCATATTGACGCATGCTCTAAATATGCTAATGTGTTAGCATTCCTATTTTTAGGGAAATGTAGTATGTTGTGCCTTACATATAACAAATATGTATCTGTGAAAAATAAAATTTAATATTAAATCAAGCATCTTTATCTTACAGATGCTGTAAGATCCATGTCAATCATTGTTATCAGCCATGTCTTAAAGCAGCCAGCATTAAGAAAGCATACAAAGAATAGGATTAATGAAACCTTTACAATTTCTCTCCTCCTCATTTACATTGTGTGCCTTGTCTGTGCCTTGACCGAGTTGGATTATTGTGTTAATTGCTAACCCTTTAATATAAACTTAAAAAGTAAATGAAGTATCACAAGGTAAAGGTGTTAACATATGTCACAGGTGATTTTTAATGTTTTAGTTTAATGGTGTAATATTTAAAGTTGTGAGGGTTCATCTTTGAAGTTTTTTTTTGTTTTGTTTTTTTAATTAGATCCACAATTAATTATTCCAGCCAATATATCATGAATCCTTCATCAATGAAAAACTGAATAAAAAGGAACTCCTGGATGCTGCCTATTCTAGAGAACAACATATTTTTCGAGGCTCACATTTATTAATACTGGCTACAACCAACATATCCTCCCAGGAGCTGGACTGGTCAGTACATTCCTTGGTCAGTACATTGAATATCTCCAGTGATTACAGTGGGGGTTCCAAGGAACCAACTTTGGTGAAACTCACCCGACAATTACTGGTCTCTTCAGGCAAGCTGAGCATATTTAGTGTTATGGTTTTAGTCCATTTAACAACTTTGGACAATTACAAGGAAATGAACCAGTATCAAGTTAATTGAATACACGGATATAAACATTGATAGTTTTAATCTCAGACCCAGGTATAAATTACAAACTATTGTATGATAATAATTGACATGATAAATGGTTGATGAGCTACTGAAAAGGTCAAGGTGATCCCAACATCAATGTTCTGATACAGGTGCCATTATCGATTTGTTGTAGGCCCTATTTCATACATTAAGCAGTCAAATTTGGCAATCAAAATCCTTATGAAGGGAAGTCCCTTAACCCCTTAAGGACACGACATGTGTGATATGTCATGATTCCCTTTTATTCCAGAAGTTTGGTCCTTAAAGAGTTAACTGCACCATTAGACACTTTGTAAATTAAATTTACACCAAAAATTATTTCATATTCCACTGAATACAACAATTAACCAATACCCTGAAAAATATAAATGTTAAATAAAATAAAATAAAATGCTTGAAGTGTTTGGACCCAAGTAGAACACCCAAACCACAGAGGTTTATGATGTCTACAAGAAACAAATTTATTCAAAGGATCCCTTAATTCAAGCAAATAAAGTATATACAATGTAACAAAGTAGCACAGTGAAATGGATAACAAAAAAATGCAAATGAACATTATAACTAAAATTTTAACACATTTAAAGCAATAATGATGATTTAAAAGACAACAAATTAATGGCACATGTCACCCGTTACATACCCTTCTCCCAACATCGGCATCCCATGTATCTGGCTGGTGGAAAGAGTATAAAGGGAGAAAGGTCAGAGTATGGGAGAGATTACACGCAGAACGTCTGCCAATCACAACAAGCCAGACCACTGAGGGCAGACCATCCAATGAACACTAACAGGACTCTAAAATCAAGGATATCACGCCGAAATGAGAATAATTGGAAGGCCTGCTATTATCTTTACTGCACAATCTATGAAAATCAAGTCTGAGGTTGAGTGGTTTATAACCACTGAAGTGAAGTCCAGTTTTAGGATAATGTTTGACTGTGTTTCGGGCAGAAAAATGTTGTGACATTTTTGGAATGTGATAGTGTTGAAAATACTGGGCAATATTCTGAAACCATTCTCGATCGAATAGAGGCTAGATTGTAATTTACCTCCAATTTGCAAATGGCAACTGTTGGCATAGTTCTTTCAGAATATTGTGGGGTTGTTTTTTTGTTTTGTTTTTAAGTCCCTTAACCCCTTAAGGACACAACTTCCGAAATGAAAGGGAATCATGACGGAATAGTTCCGTCATGTGTCCTTAAGGGGTTAAAGGCAATCATCCCATGAAAGTAATCAATTAGCCCCTGGTACAGAATTACGATGAAAAAAATTCAATACAACTAAAGTGTCGAAGGTATAACCATCCAAAATTGAGAAAGTGCTACATCAAACAAAAAAAGCACACAGTTGCATTCACTGCTGCTGATTATAAATGGTAAAGTAAACTATTTGGCCACTGGATATGCAGTAAGGCCAAAAAAAACAACAGGTTAGACACGTAAAACTGTACCTATTTTTACTAAAAGTAAATCAGTACTGTAGCATTGAGTAATATAATTGTGTCAGATGACAGGTTTATGTTAACCCCTTAAGGACACATGACATGTCATGATTCCCTTTTATTCCAGAAGTTTGGTCCTTAAGGGGTTAAACATGCAATATTTTAGTAAGCAATCTGAATTTCACAATCTTTTTCAACACCTCTCTTGGCAGATATTACAATTCTACCACAATGGTGTTAAGGTCTTATTAACTGATTTTTAGAAGGGACAGTGGTTTGCATACAAGTTTACTTGACTTTCAAAATATTAAAGGGCATGGCTTTCTTTTCACTTATCCTTCTTTTATCACAGATTCAAGGAGCACAAAAGGAGTGGAACAACTCCTGGTACAGTTCATCTGGGTTCGATAGTACTGAAGGACCTAGAAATCAAGCAACTCTTAGGTGTTCTCAACCCTTTTTGTTTTTTTTTAGATTGCTTATTGTTGGAGCAGGATGCTTATCAACCTATTGTTCCTGTAACATTATGTAATTATCTAATTTTTTGTTAAATATCTCCTTTATAATATCGTAAAGTGCTGTGGAGTAAGTTGGCACTACATAAATGCCAATAATAATAAGATGATGATGAAATTATAGTGGTGGTAATGGAAAAGAAAATAAGTTAAGCAATGAGCATTTGGTGGATCACAGTTACAGGCATAAAAGTGCGGTTCTGTGCCTTCTGTATACAGGAACGTTCATGTTTTGGTAGCCTAAACACCTTGCAAAACACACGCTCAATGTGGAAATAAAATGTCCATCGCAAGAAGAGACAGAGAGAAAATGAATATACCACTACTATTGAAGAAGGAGCCCCACACCTCCCAAGTTTTTCTAGTGGGTTTAGTACCATCAAATTAAATATATGTGCCATCTAGTGTCATTTGAACAAGCAACTACCTATATTTGGTCTAGGGCCATGCAAATACAAACATGATACTGAAAAGGGGCCTTCAGGATGGAACCACATTGACTGCTTTGACTCACTACACCCTACTGATGTTGACCAGAATAAGAACACACATAGGTCTTCGCATCAAACGGACAAACATCATCTCCATATGTAAATATATACTCCACTAGATCTTTCCCTTTTTTTTTTTTCTATTTCTCATCCATTAGGGTTCTTCATGTTCACCAGTTATCATCTCCAAGTCCCACCTGGTCATCATTACTCCAAAAGCTTAACCAGTTGATCAAGGTAATTGTCGAAGTGAACAAACAACTCGTATTACACGCACACTGAGCAGTTAAAAGAAGCGAACATAAATAAATAATGCAGGTTATAAGGAGGCTGGAAGGGTTTTTAGGCAAGAGGGATGGAGGGAAAATAAACGCTTCCCATTGCAGGCGCTACAAGGGTAGAAACTCAATAAGTCTGTCGCCAGCACACTGACGACAGCCATATTTTTTGCACAGAATTGACATTAGGCAGGCTGGAACAGAGGCCTTAACAATCATCTGGGATTGCTATATCTCTCACGCAGAGAGTCAGCCTGCATTTCGGATTTGAACTGCCCTTTTAAGAGGGATCATTCTGATATGCAAATCAAACCATGGTTCTCTTTGTAATGGCACAAGATGAGCAAAAAACAGCTTTAGATCTGAGTGAGGACCCAGCAAAGGGGAGGCTACTTGAGCTATTGTCCATTTTTAGTACTCTCTTGCACCTTAGTTATTTTGCTCTCACCAGGCTGCCTAAGTCACCTGTGTTGGGCGTGTAACTAGCCACCGGCCACAAGTGCAAATATGTCTGGATGTTTCAAAGAGAAGCGCTGCACATACAGACTCCTACAACCATGATCACGTCTAAAAGCACAAGTGGTCATGGTGGTTGAATGAACTCTTTAAAAGTAGTTTGCTGTGTCACTGATAATGTTCCAGTACTACTGTGAAACTGAACACCAGCTAGATATTGGTACTGATGGGATTAAAGCGTGTTGATTCTACCAACAAAAAATAAATATGGCTTTCCACCACAGTTGATAAACCTGAAAAGTGCCATGTTTATCCGTCCATCTTTTTTTTTTTGTCAGAAAGACTGAAGAAGGAACATCTGCTACATGCTTAAATCGATTACTGTGGACGAAATAATAATATTACAATAACAGTTATATTTGCCCATAAGGATGAACACTGAGCATTAGAGAGCAGATTTTTGTTTTCCTTTTCAAAAAGTACATCTAGATCATCTATTTAGCTCTGACAGCTATACCAACGTAGACTTGGCAGAAATTGTATCAGGAGCTCAATATGAGGTTGAACATAATGGTAATAGGTTAGTCTGGTGTGGGATCACCATCTAAACAAAACCAATCGGTTGAAAGGGTCACTTTAAACACCATCATAACCATGGTGCATATGACATCTTAGATCTACTCTCATTTCTGGGAATGGCTTAGAATTGCATAATTTTTTTTTTTTTAAATGGCTGCAGACGAATCTTAAAAAGGAGCTAGGGAACCAGAGGTTCAATATGAATTGATATAAAGACAACCGATCCATGGACATAGGCACAAAGACTGGAAAGAGTTCGGAACAAAAGCAAGACTCCAGTATGGCAATTGAACAAAGACACAAACAATTCTAGTCCCACCCTGGAGCAGAAACCACATTCATATGACATAGAACCAACATGGAAAAATGGACAGAGAAGTTACATTTTAAAAAAAACAAGACGACAAGTCAGGTAAGTGACTAGAAAAAAAAGGGGCAAAATTGAAACAGAATAAGCAGACTAGTTATGCACATGACAAACGACCAAGCATTGACCCAAATGTTATTATACAGGTAAATTGGGTTCAAGAGAATAAAATAAAAAAAATAAAAAAACACCACACACACAAAGTACAAAACTCACAGCCACCGGTAAAGTGGTGTGGCGATTTGTACGTGTGCAGAAATTAAGCAGCCAAAAGGGGAAGGAACAACACACACACAAAAGCAGAGCAGAAAAGGAGCATGCACACTGATGAAGAAAGCAACCATTAAAAGAAACAAATGGCAAAACAAGAATAGAGGGCAAGGATTCACTCCTGTCCTCAGCGATCATCATGATATAAAGAGCCAGGCTGCCTGATAGAAAGAATAGAGTGCGCACACATGTGCCACAAAGGACTTTTTTACTTTGTATTTTTTGTTATTGTACATCAATAAATTTATTTTACTCAAGATACCCTGCTCAAGTCTATTCTGGAGCCTCTAGGAATGTCCATATGGGCAGTGCCATCCCTATTTAAATTGGCACCATACCTAAACAGCTCAGAGCCGGGACCTATAGGCTCAGGACCAGGTGAGCACCACATTTACTATTCTACACCCGTTTTTTTATTGCTACAGTCTTCACACTGGTTTGTTCTCCTTCTAGGTTTTATTTATGAGAACTACTCCAAGCCGAAGCGGAAGGGTGGTGCTACCAAAATAAGCACACAAGCCTAAATACAGAGCCAGTTTTTATACACAGGCTCCTAAAAATGTGAGTGTTCTGTCTGCTACATTATTTTCTGAATTGCAATTTTAAAATACCATCTGCACTATATTGTATCTTTTGGTTTTTTATACTTTTTGGTATGTACTTCGCACCATACTATTGAATCAAGTTACGCTTGGTAAGCTTTATATCCGTTTGAGCGCTCCACTTATAGGTGTAGGTCTCTGTCACTTGTACCGCACTGTATTTCATATTATTGTTTAGTGAAAAAGAGGATATTTCCACCTAAGTGTATAGAGATGCTTTTTAAAACTTTTTTATTCACGTCTAAGCACTTTTTGTTACACACATCCCTCCGTGAAAGAAGGTAACTCTGGATTGGTATTCATAAACTAGGCATGAAAAGAGATTGACAGCACACAGAATCTCCACAACGGGACAGTAACATTAACCTGATTTGTTTAAAAATGAGACCATTCAATATCCATTTTGAAAAAAACAAAATGGTTAAATGGATCTGATCATTGATCTGCTTAATGCGTCTGCTTTCTCCCGATGTAAAGACGGTCAGAGAGGCACTTTACTAGGAGCCATTAGGGGTAACCAAAACTTCACGGTTACCAATATAATGAAATAAAGAAGTTATTTAATGCCTAGTATAGACTTAACAAGTCTTTGTTTCACCTGCAAACAAAGGTCACCCACACAGTCAGAAATGTTATCTTCAGAGTAACCACCTGCCTTATTGCCACACATATCAAAATAGAATTTAAAAGGGAGGCTGTGCGTACTTTAACCATTATCATTATATCTCATTAAATTGGCTATAGTGCCTAGAGTCTCCTGCCATTTCCCTACACCCAGTGTTAAACCACTTGAAAAGTTTTAACACTGAATGATGATCCCTGGCTATCCATAGCTCCATCCTGTCTCGATGTGTGGCTAAGAGATTTCACACTTCCTGGAAGCCATACAGATTCATACCTGCAAAAGCTTATAACTACAGAGGGAGTGACTCATCTGCCTAAGATGTTCCATAGTGATATCACAAAGAGAGTAATTAAGGGGATATTATAGGCTGCAAAATAACTTTAGCTTAATTTAGAGGTTTTGGTTTATAGATCATTCCCCTGCAATGTTACTGTTCCATGTTCTGCCAGTTAGGAGTTAAATTACTTCATTTATGAAGCCCTAGTTTAATTCAGAATTTCAAATCTCCTGCTTGGTTATTAGTCTTTTAGACCTGACACTAAAACTTCTATTTATAGAGCAGGCGATACAAACTTCTAAAGTAAGCTAACATCTGATTGAAAAAGAAATCAGTTTTGTTTTATGCAGGCTGTGCGAGTCAAAGCTAGAGTTGATTAATGATATTTTCTATCCAAAATAAATTACAAGGGGATCTGTTAGAGAAGGATATTACTTACAGCCTTATTTTGTCAGAAGAAATAGTATGAATTGCAGGAAAGTAATGGCATTGATGGATTCTGGAGATATTATAATAAACCACAAAAAAAAAGGTTGGTTTAGGATTGTCTCCCAATTCCCAAGATGACATTATGTTCCCCATAAAAGATATCATCGTCACGTATATTATACTACATGATTTAATTTATTTTAGAACACTTCTTGGGATTGGTGTGTGTTACACGCCCAGCCAGCAACTTTTAACTTTAAAAGGTTAATGTACCATAAGCACTTTGCATTAATGCAAACAACATCGTGCTCAGAGCACCTAGAGCCCAACCTTGTTAATGAGAGTGGAATACAGCTGCAGCAATTTGAAGTAAAAAAAATAAATAAAAAAAATAAAAAAATATATATAGAAAAAATACTTTTCCAGGAGAGCCATCCCTTCCCTGCACAACCAATTGGCAGACAAAATCAGGTGTGCACTGCGCAACTTCATCTGTGGCAAGGTCCACATAACCACAGATATGCGCTACAGCTCTCTTTTTCCTCCAGGAGAGCCAAGCTGCAGACTGCGCATGCACTCTGTTTCTTTCCCAATACTAAAACAAACAACGTGTATAAACAGACAGCAGCAGTGGTAAGGGTTATTGAGCAGTTACAATCATCCTATGGAACTGCTCTTTCGGGGATAAGCTTTTTTCCTAATTCCCTCATGGACAGGGAATTATGGGACAATATTAGTAAACGAGACACTCCTGATTGCAGAGTCTCATCCTTGTTGTTGGGGGTCTGTGTGCAGCTACAGGCAGACCCACTAAGCAATCCACTGAGGGACACTTTAGAAAAATGTAGATAAAAATGAAAACTTAAACAAAACAAAAAAATCCATATCTATACATGGGCAAATATATCTCTCCCTTAAACGATACGCTGGTTAAAAAAAAAAAAAAATTTAAATTTTAGGCCGAATTGGCATAACTGAAATCATTTGTTTGGAAAACATTTCTAGGGTGGCAAATTTTGGCCTACAATGTGAAATTCATTTTCCATTCCTGAAAAAAAATCATACCTTACTGACAGTAATCTAGCCAGTCCAAGATATCTTTACAGGAGTGCTCCATGAAGACTAGCAAAATTGCACCACACCGTGTGAGTCATGCTGTGCACTCCTGTTTGTGAAGAATAGTGTGATGTAACATGATCTACCTAACAGAAACACATTTACTGCTTTCTAAGCACCCAAAGGGTGATTTAAATGTGCAAAGGTATACAATTGTGTAAGTAACGCAAAGGTGTACTTCCCTATGGCCCCCTTTCCTGGCACTGCCTCCTTCCCCTCAGCCCTTTAAGGGTTAAAAAAAAATCTTTTATTTACTCATTCACATCCAGTGCCAATCGCCCTCGGCACACAGTCATCACCCGACGGGGGGCCTAACGCGCTTTTACGGTGAGCACATTAACCCCCTTCCTATAGGAAAGCATTGCTGCAATGATTTCCTTTGAGGATTTTACGGATGATAGAGGTCCACATGCAGAGTATGAGGACGTCCAGCATCAGTTAGGGAACCAAAAGTCGTTTAACCAACAGAAAGTGCCTCTAGTGGCTGTGTGACAGCCAATAGAGGCAGTCTTAGTTCTGCAATGCAATTATTGCAGTTCTCATGCATGCCAAGTAAAATACTGATATGGGCTCCAAGCAGATGAAGCACCAGGAACTGAAGTAGACCGACTGGATGACGATGACAGGTAAACACACCTTTCCCTGCACCCAGCAGCCACCAAAACATGCAAGGATGGTCATCAGATGCTTTAAAAAAAAAAAATGTAAATAAATACAACAAAGCATCACAAGAAAAAGTTCAAAAGAAGCTAGTGGTAATTTTCAAAGTTTTATTTAATGGTATAATTTATAAAGAAGTAACATTTACTCTTGAAAACACCTACCACATAGCTCTGTCTTGGTTCCTGGTCCAGAGACAAAATTACCCATTAGGTGACAAAGGCGGCTGCCCAGGACCAGTGGACCCTGTCTGTACTTGGAGTTCCGGCTCTGAGCAGGCACCCCTCGAGTCAGCAAGGGGCTTCAAAAGATGAAAATGATTCCCTGGTGGTCCGTGGTTTACCATATTAATCACAGTCCCTCACAGTTCCAGTACTCTGTGAGGGATAGGGATAGAGATAGGGATAGAGATAGGGATAGAGATAGGGATAGAGATAGGGATAGAGATAGGGATAGAGATAGGGATAGAGATAGGGATAGAGATAGAGATAGGGATAGAGATAGGGATAGAGATAGGGATAGAGATAGAGATAGAGATAGAGATAGAGATAGAGATAGGGATAGAGATAGGGATAGGGATAGGGATAGGGATAGGGATAGGGATAGGGATAGGGATAGGGATAGGGATAGAGATAGGGATAGAGATAGGGATAGGGATAGGGATAGAGATAGGGATAGAGATAGGGATAGAGATAGAGATAGGGATAGAGATAGGGATAGAGATATATATCCCTCACAGTTCCAGTACTCTGTGAGGGATAGAGATAGAGAGAGATATAGAGATAAATAAATATATATATTTATTTTAATATGGTCTGCTACATGCACCTCACTGGACCACCAGTATTGCCCCCTTATTGCCCGGGATGTAAGCAGCAGGGGGGGGGGGAATTATATATATATATATATATTTTTTTATTATTATTATTTTTTTAACACAGCCTTCCTCATATTGTCATCCCTCACTCACCCTGTTACAGACACCCCCACCCTGTCAAACTCAACCTTTCACAGACAACTCCTAAAAAAAAAAGATTCATCATACATAGTCACCTCATACATGAAACACATCCAAACAATAAACACACAAGTACCACAAGCAGGCCTCTTACACAACACAAGCAATTATCCCATACACATACGCTCCCAGACACACACGCTCACAGATAGAGACACACATTTACACACAAGGATAGTCAGGCACATAGAGACAGACTCAATCAGAAATGCACACAAACTCTCTCAAACACATACACAGGTACACAATGCCAGAGACTCACTCTGCCACACACACACACACACATCACAGAAATAGAGCCCTCTAGAATTGGCCCCAATCTGGCATCCTGCCTAGGGCCCTGGGCAACCTTCAATCAGCTCTGCCGTAGACACAGAATAGAAGAGATTCTGCTTTTCTTCTATCTTTACAAATAAATCCTCATATACCTACATTGCTTTGTCTTTTTTGCCATCTTTATAAAGAGACACTACCTAAAAACACTAGTTCAGAAAAATAAAAGCCAACCTACTCCTTATCTTGCTCTTGGATATGCCACATGCATTTAATACAGTGTTGCATAGCGTTCCTTCCAAGAGCTCTCTCTTGGCACCTCTGGTTTGGCACACTCTGGATAGACAGCCTCACTGCATTATTCCTCTGCATACTTCAAAAAGCCAAACTACTGTTCCTTTTCAGAATACCCAAGTCATTGGTCTAGGGTCATTCCTTCTACTACAATTTAACAACGGGGTAACACATGATCTTAGCCGATCTAAGGAGAGTCTCCATGTATCAACACATGTTCTACGTTTCATGAACAAGGTATTGTTCCTGTCTTCAGTTTTATCTTTACTTCTTTTGCTGCTCCACAGCTGTGGAACTCCTAGAAAGCATATGACAATCTTTGATCTTCTTTGAACACAAAAATAAAAGATACATTAATCAAACGAGACTGGCCTTACTAACACTTGTACTTCTTACCTCCATGCAGATTCCGAACATAACCCCATTGTATCAATGCATCTCTACGAGGAAAGTTCAGAGTCTCCATGCAGAGGGTGGATATAGTGAATGGCAGTTTGGCATACTGTGCAGCACTGCCCCAGGAATCACCTCTAACAGCCATCTGAGGAGTGGCCAGTGGAGTTATCCCTAGGCTATAATGTAAACACTACATTGTCTCTGAAAAGACAGTGTTTACTGCAAAAAAACCTAAAAGGGAATGATTCTACTCCGCAAAACAAATACAATAAGCTGTAGTTGTTCTGGTGACTATAGTGTCCCTTTAACCATGCAATCTGAAAACATTGCATTTTTTTAAACTGTAGGAATCACCTGGACAGAAAACTAAGTGATTTTGGACAGTTATGGTTAAAATGACATAATATGGCAACAGTAAAATTCAATATGCAGGGTCAGCAATAGTTGAGAAAATCTTAAAGAGCCCCTTCAACACAACACTAATCAATAATCCTTGCATAATCCATCTTTCCCAACCTATTTGGTTTATGTAATAATTTAAATATATCCCCACAATGATTAGCATTATTTTAGCATTCACTTCTTACATAGTGAAATCTTTGGAATCATTCAGTGCAGCAGACATCAAACAAAGCAGTTTTGAGCCCAGGACTATATACACTGATCGGCCACAACTTTAAAACCATTGGGAGACCATTGTGCATTTGCGGCAAAACACCATGCTGCGCCAATCAACTTTTCCTCATAGAGATGCATTAAATTAATGAATCCCTATGGAGAGCTTCAATGTAGGTGCTGCACACTACAGCAATTGCCCAGGAAGCACTTCTAGTGGTCATCTGAGTGGCTGTCTCTAAAGGTGACACTGCTTTTTATATGAAAAGGCAGGTTTTACATTGAAAAACATGCAGGGGCAGGATATAGACACCAGAACAACTACATAAAACTGTAGTTGTTCTGATGACTATAGTGTCCCTTTAAGAATTGTATTTGTGACTTTGAAAAACCGGACTTCTAGATTCCAAGCACATTTGTCAATGCCTGCATTAAAGGACCACCATAGTGCTCTGAGGGTGCCCCCACCCTCATGGCCCTCCTCCCGCCGGGCACTAGAATGAGGAAGGGGTTAAACACTCACCTTTCTTAAGCGCCGGGGACTCTCCTCCTCCTTTGGATGTCACCGGCTGAAGGCGCATGCGCGGCAAGAACCGCACACGCAGTCAGTCCATAGGAAAGCATCTCAATGCTTTCCTATGGACCTTGCGTCTTCTCACTGTGAAAATCCGTGAGAAGCGCAGAAGCGCCTCTAGCGGCTGTCAATGAGAAAGCCACTAGAGGCTGGATTAACCCATATGTAAACATAGCAGTGTTTACAGCAGGCAGGGTTAACCCTAGAGGGACCTGGCACCCAGACCACTTCATTAACCCCTTAAGGACCAAACTTCTGTAATAAAAGGTAATCATGACATGTCACACATGTCGTGTGTCCTTAAGGGGTTAAGCTGAAGAAGTCTGGGTGCCTATAGTGGTCCTTTAATGAACCTTGGGAGCCCATGATCCTGATGCCAGTTCACTGGTTGTCCTTGCTTGCACCACTTTTGGTAGGTACTAACCACTGTAAACCGAGAACACTCAACAAGATTTGTCGTTTTGAAAATGCCCTGATCCAGTCGCCTAGGCATTTTGTGCCATTGTAAAGTTATAATCAATGTTATTCACTTCAACGGTCAGTGGTTTTAATGTTTTGTTTGATCAGTGAATTTCACACACAGCACACCTGAACGGACTTATTACTGATCCAGACCAGACCAACTTTCTCATTCTTAAAATCATATTTTAAAAAAAAAGCCATACATTCAACCCAAAATGTGTAGGTTTTTTTTTTTTTTTGATTGATCCTTTTTGGTTGTTTATACAACATCATAAGAGTCTTGGACCATCCTGAAACATGCAACTTAACCCCTTAAGGACCAAACTTCTTGAATAAAAGGGAATCATGACATGTCACACATGTCATGTGTCCTTAAGGGGTTAAAGTGACATTTCCTAAGGACCCGGTGCAAGATTGCCAATTTTATTTTTTGACAAGTTTAGAAACTTACAGCAAGATATCAAGATTTCATTTTACATGTCACTGCTTACTACAAAACAAATTGTATAGAATGTGTGGGCTTGCATAGCAGACGCAATAGTGAGTAGTTCTAGTCATGAAAGAAAAAATGAATGAAACTACTACCATTAAAAAAAAAATCAAAAACAAAAAAAAAAATCTCACATTGCTTAATTTGTGAATTTTCCCAATTTCAAAACAATTTTTTTAAAATCTGATACTAAGAAGCAGTTCTCGTATTGTTGGCTGTACATAACTTACACAGTTATATTTACACACACAAAATATGCACATGACAAAGCATGTTTTACAATCTGTAGAAAGGGGTCAGGCATCCATTGTTGTACATATGATGAAGATCATAAGCCTGGCCTTAAGATATGTAATCCGAGTCATTCTGGGATAGTGACTAGGTGGGAACCCCTAAATTAATAAACATAATACCCAGAGAATGGATGGGATCTTATGGTCAATAAAAAGTGTTATTACAACCACCTACTATCCCACCCTAACCAAGATAGTTTGTATAACTGTAAAATCAGCTGCTGCAGAACCTCTTGTAAAAAAACTTGCTGTCAGTCTAAATTGTTTCTTTCACAAAAGCTGTAAGTAGCCACCTCCTCCACTAGCAATTGTAATGGCATTTGGCAAGTGAGACCCTGTAACTAAAAAAAAAAAAAAAACACAAATTCAACATTGCCTGTGTTGTCAGACTGCCACTACTTGCAAGTAAATGGTCAGAGGAATAACTAGACTTATACTTAATTAAATCCCCCTACATTTTGGAGCATCGCAATCACAGACAACTAGAGAATAAGCTTCCTCAGACCAGAACCAAGGGATCTGGCAACGCCATTCAAAAGAACAGATGTAGGGGCATGAAGCACACCCATACCTGTAAGAAGAGTACAGTGAAAAAAATCAAAATACAATATATGTTTTGTGGGGGTTCCCCATGTCTCACCTGCAGAGTCTCCAGTCCCTAAACCATTCAAATACAGGATGGACAACAAGTGGGGTTCGGTCTTCTCCAAGGCCACCCTCAGATCTTGGAAGTGGTCCCTCTCTTTGACCAGAAGCATCTTCAGTAAGAGGTCCACTTTGTCCTGTCCGGTGGAGCAGCTGCTGTCCAGTTCCTGCCTGTCCCTAAGAGTGAGGGTCCCAGCCTCCTCTAGAACGTTGAGAAGTCTGTCTGCATCACTGATGGATTCCACCAGGTTCTGGTGGCACTGTTGCAGCAACTCTTTGTGTTTAGGCTCCATCCTGGACAGGAGGAAGCAGACTGTTCCTAACTCTTGCTGTTCCCTCCTCTTCCACCGAAAGTCTGTGGCTTTGCGTGGAGTCCTCCTGAGTTACAGGCCCAGCAGGAGTCTCCAGCTTGCAGCCTGAGCTAAACACAAGCCTGCCCTGCTGCACCCTCCGCCTGTACACAGCCCAGCCAGCTTGCAAGCAGCAGCCATATTGCTCAGCTGGGGAGGGCTGCAGGGCTGCATGCTGTACCTCACCCCAAAAAAACCTTCTCCTTATCCCCCTTTCTGCCTTCAAAGTCTTTCTAGTTATCAAACGGTAAAAAGGAAAAAAAAAAATGTTCCCCCTTCCCTCCTCCCAGTATGTACTTAGGATCTGTTTCCTGCTACATGACTGCTGAGCTTAGCTTCTCTGCTGTCTGCCCTAAAGGCTTTCCTTCCCTTTTTCCAGTTTACTGCTCCTAAACTCTCTGATCTCTGCTTTTCCCACTGCCAGTAACAATGTGTCTCTTTAAGAGTCGGATTTTTTCTCTCCTTCCTCTCTTGTCTCCTCCTCTCTGTGTCTACACTTTCCTCCCTCCTATTTCTCTCCCATCCCATCCCCTCTCTCTATCACTGTGGATATTTACTCACTCTCTCTCTCTCTCTCTGGATGTATTTTCTTTCCTTTTTTTATTTTAGTAGCCGAAGTACACACATTGTAATAAAACCTTAAGTAAATAAAGACAGCTATACCAGCTTGTAACCATTGCCACTTTAAATGTCGCTTCATAAGCAATGCTGAGATACTAAAAGAAAGTTTCTAAACAATGTACATCGATAGAAAAGCAAATCCTTTTTTTTTTTTGTCTTGTTTTATTTTTAGTAGAGAGTCAAGGGACAGATTGCCAGATTTGGCAGTGTTTGTTGCCAATAGGAAAATAAAGACGATCAGACTTTACATAAATGTTCGTTAAATATTATTTGAAATATGAAAATTATAAATAATTAAAAAAAAAAAAATTAGTCTAACTTTTGCCCGTTATCTAATTGATATACATTTATAAACAACATTGTATCATATGGGTTTACTCAGCTGAAATCGAAATATATTTTATGGGGAAATGTTTTTTTTTCCTACATTTGGCTATTTGTGGGACTGAATTGTGCTATGGCCTACAACACACCGGAGTTTAGTGAACACACATCATAATGAATTTCAAATTTTAGGTAAAAATAATAGCCAAATTTGGAATTTTGAGATTTTTTTTCTTTGTTTGGCTGTTTTGATTTTGGTTGATCTTTTATGGTCTGAAATTTGAAAATTCACTCTGAATTCCCAACAATTTATACTTTTGCAAATAACCCTGTGAGGGTTTTATTCACTAAACAGTGATTTGAAAATAAAATTGCAAAATTCAGGACAAAGAAATATACTTCAATTCATATCTTTTTTTATTCCAACTTGGCTATTTTGGCCTAAAATTTTAAATTTCTGTGTAAATTTCTTGACTATTTGAAATTTCATGATTAATTCCAGACAATTTAACTATTTCTACAGATCAGCAGTTGATTTAGACATTTTTTTTCTCCCCAAACAGACTAGGTAATGTAAGAGGGAAGGCATTCACTCAGGTGTGGAGATACAGACTACTGAAGCTTTTCTGAAGAGATAAATATAATGGGAGGTAACACACACCCAGGGGAGGGCTGGGAACATTTGGCTTGGGGCAAGTGCAAAAAAAGCTATTTTTTATAAGCATGAAACTCAACACATCTCAATATTGATGATCCCACTCAAATTGAGAATGAAACAGACATATTTCTAAACATAGTGCCCTGTGAATCAGGACCCTGGGGTAAAGGGGATCATTGGCGTCATTGCATCACTGGCCTCACCCAAGAGAGCAGTCCTGGTCAGAAATGGGAAGTGTCCATCCTAAGGATTTGCAGTCCACCTGGACCCACAGGCTGTATGTCAATCATCCAGGCCGGCCCACTGAGGGCAGACCATGTAGAGAGCACTGTTTCAGTCCTAGTACTTTGAGTGTGGCACTCACACATCTAATGATAGGCTTGTGGCAAACACTCTTTTCTACTGATGTTTACCACAAACTCCTGGAGGAGTGTGAAAGCTGGCCTCCTGACTATGGTCCAGGTCTGAGACCCTGTTCGTGAGTTAGCCTGCCCAACCGCCATTAGCAGTTTTCCATCTGTGCCCCTGGTTTGGAACTTTGCGTTCATTTAAATGGAACTGAACGCTAGATCCCTGGTGGCCGTTCGCATGAACAAACCCACGAATGGTCCTCAGTGGTACTTAGCTGCGACCACTATGGAACTAATTTCGGCATGAGGACTTCATGGTTCCCGGTCACCTCAGTGGTACTTAGCCGCGAATGTTATGGAACTGTTTTTGGCATGAGGTGACCTTGCGATTCCCGACAACTTGGTCCAGGGTTTTGGACCACTTTGTGACCCACCAGGAGAGCACTTTTTGGAAAGAAGGTGCCTGTGACTAAGGGAAACAAATGCTCCCCGAGAGTCAGGCGGAGCACCCAGTATTTCAGCAGAATGATCAGCAAAAACACCAAACGCCCTGGAACTATTTTAGGCTAGGACCATGTGTGCGGCTGGTCATAACTGCCCCGGTGGCGTTTCCCCTACACTGCATGGATCTGAGCGCTATTTGGACAACTTCTGCACTCAGCTGTTTGGGGATGTATGACATGTGGGGTTATTATGCTTTTATGATGTTTTGGGATACTTTTATGCTTTGTGTTGAGCTGTCTGTTCCTGGGAGATAATTAGCTTACTTGTCTTTAACTCAATTATCTCCCAGGCCCAGAGATTCCTGGGAGGAGCTTGCATTGTATTGTTTGGAGACCACCTGTTGGGGTCTGTGCATAGAAGACAAAGTTTAGCCCATTAAAGTCAATTGTACTCCAAGAACTATGTGTCCTTCAGTTACTGGGAGGGAAAAGGGCTAATCACTGCTCAGCACCTTGTTCCAGCTCATGGAGGATTCATTGGGAAAAGTCCTTGTAAGGACTACAGCTCCCAGGACTGTGTGTCGTCCAGTCCTTGGGAGGGAATAGAGATAGTCCCATATCCTGTTCCAGGACGGAGAGGCTCTAGGAGGACCCCAGTCAAGTCATGGCGACTGGGTCAGAAGCACTGAGGTGTTCCTGGTTCAAGCTAGGAAGTGATCCTTAGCAGAGGTACCCAGCTCCACTACAGGACAGTTCTCTAGTGTCCCCAAAAGCAGAACATCATGAAACAAAATCGGAATGGCAGGTCAGGACCCGAAATCAGGACTCTCCTGCCAATATCAGGTATGTTGGGAGGCATGAATAGAGAGAGAGAGCGTGATTTGACATACTGCTCCCTGCAACCTCCATCCAATATATCCTGCAGAAAAAGTAGGAGCATTTATATAGATCTGTCCACGCCTAAGCTAACTCTGCTTCCAGTGACTCAGTTGGCACCAACAATCACCAGCATGTTATGAATATCATGATCACAGTGTCTTCTTACCATGTGGTCACCTGCAAACACCTCTAGAAGTGGTGGGGTGGGTGATGCTGAGATTGGTGGGAGGGATGATGCTGAGGGTGGTGGGGGGGTGATGCTGAGGGTGGTGGGGGGTGAGGCTGAGGGTGAAGGGGGTGAGACTGAGGGTGGGGGGTGGACTGAGGGTGAAGGGGGTGAGACTGAGGATGAAGGGGGTGGTGAGGCTGAGGATGAAGTGAGGCCAGGGTGAAGGGGGGGTGAGGCTGAGGATGAAGGGGGGTGAGGCTGAGGGTGAAGGGGGGGTGGTGAGGCTGAGGATGAAGGGGGTGAGTCGAGGTGAAGGGGCAGGAGGTGAGGTGAAGGGGGTGGTGAGGCTGAGGGTGAAGGGAGGGAAGCCGAGAATGGGGAGGTGAGGCTGAGGGTGGGGGTGGTGGTGAGGCTGAGGTGGGGCTGAGGGTGAAGGGGGTGGTGAGGGTGAAGGGGGTGAGGCTGAGGTGGTGGTGAGGCTGAGGTTGGGAGGGTGGTGAGGATGGTGAAGGGGGTGAGGCTGAGGATGGTGGGGGGTGAGGCTGAGGGTGAAAGGGGATGGTGGAGGCTGAGGGGTGAAAGGGAGATGGTGAGGCTGAGGTGAAAGGGGCGAGGCTGAGGGTGGGGGGTGGTGAGGCTGATGGTGAAGGGGGTTAGGCTGAGGATGGTGGGGGGGTGAGGCTGAGGATGGTGGGGAGGTGAGGCTGAAGGGTGGAAGGAGGAGCTGAGGTGAAAGGGAGATGGTGAGGCTGAGGGCGGGGCTGAGGCTGAGGTGTGGGGTGGTGAGGCCGAGGTGAAGGGGGTGGTGAGGCTGAGGTGGTGGTAAGGCTGAGGGTGAAGGGGAGTGGTGTGGTGGTGAGGGGGGTGAGAGAGAACCTACCTTTACTCCTTAGTGGTCCAGTGGGCTCCCTGGTGGTCCGGTGGCCATTGCTTCCGGTCTAATCTCGCGTGAGGCTGAGGGTGAAGGGGGGTGAGGGTGAAGGGGAGGTGAGGCTGAGAGTGGTGGGGGTGAGGCTGAGGTTGGGGGTGGGTGAGGCTGATGGTGAAGGGGGTGAGGCTGAGGATGGTGGGGGGGTGAGGCTGAGGGTGAAAGGGGGATGGTGAGGCTGAAGGTGAAAGGGGGATGGTGAGGCTGAGGGTGAAAGGGGGGTGAGGCTGAGGGTGTGGGGGATGGTGAGGCTGAGGGTAAAGGGGGTGGTGAGGCTGAGGGTGAAGGGGGTGGTGAGGCTGAGGGTGGTGGGGGTGGTGAGCCTGAGGGTGAAGGGGAGTGGTGTAATGGTGAGGGGGGTGAGACAGAACCTACCTTTACTCCCTAGTGGTCCAGTGGGCTCCCTGGTGGTCCGGTGGCCATTGCTTCCGGTCTAATCTTGCGAGACCATCAGAGCATTGCCACAGCAACGCTCTGATTGGCCAATTCTCGCGAGACACATGGTCTGCAGCTTTGCTCATTGCGGAGCTGCAGACCAGTGTCTGCGGTGACTGGCTGGACAGCCAGGAGGGGCCTCGCACCCGGCGGCATGCCCACAGGCAGTTTAGGCGGCCGCGAGGTCCCAGCCAGTGCGAGGCCTTAGGCGGCCGCCTAAACCACCTAATTAGAGAGCCGCCTCTGTCAAGTACAGACCACTTTAAGAGCGCCCATTTTCGGTGCACAGTCAGTGACTCAGAGCACTGGCTGAGGCACTCTGAGTCGTCGAGAAGCACCATGAGGGTGCTCTTAAAGTAACCTGTTCCTGATTCTGGTTCAGACCATAATCTTTTGATCTCCCTGCCCTATTGAGGAAGGCACCCTCACACCCAGAGCCATGCCTATAGACCCAGACAAGAGCCCCTTACCTAAACTTGGGCCCTAGGCAGCCAGCTTCGGCACCTAATAAGTAATCCAGCTCTGCTAGATTGGGCCACTGGAGAATATTATAGTGGATTGTATTAACCTGAGATAACCAGAAGCAAAATAAGTGTTTTCAAGCAACTGCAGGGACAGCACCTATGACATGCATAATCTCTTAGACCTGCTCCATGATGCTGTGCAG